CGTCATTTGATAGACAAAATTTCGCGCTAACGATTTTCATTTTCCTGGCCTGCCACTTATTCTTTGGGAGCTCGCTTGTCATGATGTAGCGCTTTATTGGCTCCCTCCAGTCAGCCCCCCAGTCTTTAGCCGGAATTTGGTCGACCTTGTGAAATACTCGTGGCTCTGGTTCGGGATGCTCATTTGGTTCAAGAATATCCTCCTCGATTAATGGTTCGGTCTCTAATACTGTTTCTGGAATCGCATCTTCTGCTAAGACAACTGGTTCCTTGTTAGATGTGTTTGATCCCTTTGATTTCCTCCGTTTGATGGGTGGCGGTTCGATCTCTGGTTTGCCACGGTCACGTGCCGCTGCTCGAGATCTTGTAACGACGAGGGTTTTTTTGTTGTCTTGAATGCTTCGCTCCGAAATGTATTCCACTAGAATAACTCTTTTCAACTCAGGATCTGATGTTGACGCCAACACGGCAAGTGCGTCTGCAGTTGTATTCTCTCCCCGAGGTATGCAAATTAATTCAAATTTCGAGAAATTTTTAGACAGATCCTTCACCACTTCGAGGTATGCTTCCATTCTTGAGTCTTTGGCCTCATAGTCTCCAATAAATTGGTTAACTACTAATTGCGAATCACAATAGGCGACTATTTCCTTAGCTCCAACTCCTTGTGCCAATCGAAGTCCGGCAATCAGGGCTTCGTATTCTGCTTCATTGTTGGAAGCATTAAATAACAATCGGAATGATTGTTCTAGAATTTCTGATGTTGGAGACTCCAACTTGATTCCCACTCCGGATCCTTGTTTTGATGAAGATCCATCTACATGTAATTTCCAAGTTTGGTTCTCCGGTTGTTCTATCGTTCCAAATATTGGTAGCTCGGTCAGAAAATCTGCTAAAACTTGAGCCTTCATACTGATCCGGCTTTTGAATTCTATGTCGTACTCGCTCAATTCCACCGCCCATTTCGCCAGACGTCCGGACTGACTTGGACTATGAAGTATTGTTCGAAGTGGCTGGTTGGTTAATACTTCAACCGGATGGGATTGAAAATACGGGCGCAGCTTCCGAGCCGAAGTCACCACCGCGAGTGTGAGTTTTTCCATCATTATATATCTGGTTTCCGGGTCCGTCATTGATTTACTTATGTAGTAAATCGGCTTCTGCTCCCCGCGGTCTTCCCGAACCAAGACTCCACTAACCGCATGGTTTGAAACTGATACGTACAAATAAAGCTTTTCATCCACTTCTGGTTTGGACAATATTGGTGAAGTGGTTAAGTATGCCTTAAGCTGCCCAAAAGCTTCTTCACACTTTTCGTCCCAAAGGAATCCTTTGTTTCCTTTTAGAATTTGGTAGAAATGTAAAGACTTATCTGTTGATCTCGAGATAAAACGATTCAAAGCCGCAATCCGCCCAGTCAACCGTTGTACTTCCTTGAAGTTTCTTGGAGATGGCATGTTTAGAAAGGCGTTGATTTGATTTGGATTGGCCTCAATCCCTCTTTCTTTCACAATATAGCCGAGAAATTCCCCGGATGGGACTCCGAATGTGCACTTTCCCGGGTTCAGCTTCATTTGATACTTATTGAGAATATCGAAACATTCCTCTAAATGCTTAACGTGATCTTCTTTCTTTAACGATTTAACCAACATATCATCTATGTAGACTTCCATTGTCTTCCCGAGATGATTGTGGAACATTTTGTTAACCAACCGTTGATAAATTGCTCCTGCATTTTTCAAACTAAAAGGCATTACCTTGTAACAATAGATACCTCTATTAGTGATAAATGACGTTTTTTCTTGGTCCTCGGGGTTCATCATTATTAGATTATAACCCGAGAAGGCATCCATGAAAGTTAACAGCTCATTGCCAGCGGTGGATTCTACAAGTCGATCTATATGCGGGAGCGGGAAACTGTCCTTGGGACATGCTTTATTGAGGTCTGTGAAGTCGATGCAAACCCTATCTTTTCCATTCTTCTTTTTAACCATGACGGTGTTTGCTACCCATTTCGGGTATTGTACTTCCCTTATGGACCCTATCTTTAAAAGTTTGTTCACTTCGTCGTTTACTATTTTTGCTCGCTCTACTCCGAGCTTTCTTCTTTTTTGCTTTATAGGCTTGAAACTTGGATCCACGTTTAGTTCATGACAAATTATGCTTGGATCTATGCCAGGCATATCCGCCGCCGACCATGCAAATGATGTTTCGTTTTTCCTTAAAAGCTCGATCAAAGCTTCTTTTATTTGCCCAGTCAAAGTTGCTCCAATTCGAATTTTCCGATCCGGTTTGTCTTCTTTCAACACTACTTCGATTACTACATCATCTTTTTTCTGCCCGCTAGGAAATTTTGGTCTTAGTCCCTCTTTTTCGGGCTTCGTTAATTGCTATTGAATCTTCAAACGGTGGCTAGCTAGATAACATGTTCTCGAAGCTTTTTGATCCCCCCGAATTGTTTCCACTCCATTTGGTGCTGGAAATTTGATACATTGATGATACGTAGAGGGGACTGCCTTCATTTGATAAATCCAAGGAGTCTCGAGGATGATGTTGTAAGCCGCGGGCTTATCAAAAACAACAAAATCCACGATCTTTGACACCTGTTTGGCAAGGACTGGTAGCTTGATTGTTCTGAGGGACATGGCTGATTCACTTGTGAATGCTACTAACGGAGATGGAGGCCCTATTATGTCTGTCCGACTAATTCCCATTCTTTCTAAAGTACTTAAAAAGATTAGATCGACCGAACTGCCCGTATCGATAAGAATCCTTGATACTTCGAAGTTGGCAACGTCCAAGGTAATGACTAATGCATCATCATGAGGTCTCTCGAGGTGCCGCGTTTCTTCTTCGTCAAATGATATTGATGCACCTTGAAAATCGACTTCTTCACTCAAACTTGCTTTGAGTAAAACATTTTGCCTATGTTTCTTGATGGAACTTATCGAATCTTGACAAAATTTAGAACCTCCTAGAATCACATTGATCTTACCCTTCGAACTCCTTGGCTCTTCCTCATTGGATAACTTTGGTCTTTTGGAATTTTGATCTTTGGAGTTATCCTTTGCTTTGTGGAATTCCTTCACGAAATCTTTTATATCGAATTTGGAAAGATCTCCACTGGCCCAAAGCTCTGCGAGATGCCTCTTAAGGACACTACAATCCTTGGTTAAATGTCCGGTTACGTTATGAATGTCGCAATGTAAACTTTCATCACGGACCCAAGTGTTTGACCTTTCTTTCCCTTGGAATTTCTTTCCGACAATACTGTTGAAGGGTTGCGACCCAAACTTTCTTGGTCCTTTATTCTCCCTAGGCTCGAACTTCTTAATAGGGACGGTGATTTCCGGCTTCTCTTGTTTATTTCTTTTGGCGAAATTTTCTTTTTCGTCCTCTACTTCCATCCAATTGTTTGCGCGGAAGAGTGCATCCTGAATTGTGTCTGGTTTATGAAGTATTAAATCCTCTTTAAACCTTGAATCATGTCGCAATCCTTTTCGTAGGGCAGATAAGGCTGATTGCTGCGAGATTCTTGGGAGCTTTGACAGCACTCCTTTGAACTTGGTGATGAAAACCCGAAGTGACTCATTTGATCCTTGTGATAGGTTCCAAAGATCGGCATCCGAAACGCCTTTGTCCATTAGAATGGAATATTGTTTTAAGAAAACAGCTGATAGCTCGTCAAAATTGCTGATTGAACCCGGCTCTAATTGGGTGAACCACATTAGACCTTGGCCGCATAGATTTTCCGAAAAGAGCTTTCAGTACCCTGCGTCCTCATCAGCTTCATCCAATTCGACTCTTCCAGCAGCGATCTAAAAATCTGCGAGATAGCTCTCTGGATCCCCCAATCCGCTGTAAGGGTCTAACTTGAGATTCCGGGAATCTTTGATTCTCAAACTTGCGATTCGCGGAACGAAAGGTGTTCGCCTAGCTTCTTCAATGACTCGATTGATATCCGGCTCCGAACTCGTAGCCTGATGGAACTTTGACTTCATTACTTTTAGTTTCTGGCTAACCTTCCTCATAGTCTCGAACTGGTCGAGGTTTTCCTGCTCGTATTGATCTGCAAGTTGAACTTCATCTTCGAGCTGTGCCTCTCCCTCCAATGGTTGAACTACATTATTAGTAGCACCAGGAGTTGTTTGTCCGCTGGTTTCATTTCGCGCAATGGAACTTGGCGAGTTGAATATCCTTCTTCGGAATCCCACAGGATTTCCTGCACTTAAAGAGCGAACACGAGTTTGTATAGTACTGACGTTTTGACTAAGAGATACCTGGGATGTTTGTAACGTGTCGACGGCCTTTTCCACATTTGAGAACTTCTGCGACATTTCCGACATAGTTTGTTGCATGGCTTTGAGGGTTTCGGCCAATGACGGCTCAACTGTGTCTCCTCCGGACATTGCTGCTTATCTCGGAAATGGAAATGCAGTAAAGAAAAATCTGACCACTCAAGAATCTTCTATCCCCACAAACGGCGCCAAAATGTGGATGTCGGATTCACACACTCAAGTATTTTTATTAAGTAGGAAAGATTACTCTTGAGGGACAAAAAATAAATATGCAAAAAGCTTATGAATTGCCACAAAAATTGCTATAGTATTTCTTACTCGAGAGGAAGATCCCCTTTACATGGCCATTCGCCCTTATATTTATACATAGAAAAATGTCAATTAAATGGCTAATTAAGTACAATTATTCTCTCTTAAATGCGTCCATTTTGATCTTCGAGATTTAATGCTCAACGTTCAAATTTGAATTAACTCTGATCCTCGTAGGCTTCGCCCTTCAGCCCGAAAGCCCCGAACCGAAATGATCTTTAACTTCGACTTCGTCTCCTCCTCGAGGTTAAACCACTCCGATCCCTCTTCGTGGTATAACCACCTCGACTAAGTTCTTGGGCTTATAAGTCTAACGGGCCTTGTCCTCTATGGGCTTATGTCCTGCCTATGTGGCAATCTTTGGTTGGTCCCGAAATACCCGTGCGGGATCCGACACCTACAACATCCAGGAACATTCTTTGGTTGATTCGAATTCCTAATGGCTAAAGGATTTTTTACACCATACCATTTCTGTGACCAAAGAAGGGGAAACACAGTGTATGCTATTATTAGATCCATCACAAAATTTAAAACCAACTTAGATGAACATTGCTTACACCGATGAGCTTGAGGACTTGCAATTTAGGAGAACTATCTAGCATGAGCACAAGTAGATTCCACCACTCTGCTTTATTTGTATATAGCTCCAAAGATACCAACTGATAGAACATTGTTTGTTATGTTCTCTGAATGGTAATGAGTAGTAGAAGATTCTAAATTCTGTGAATGTGTTTGGTAATGAGTGATGTTTAATGTGAACTTGTTTTTTCATACTTGTGTAGAATTCCGTCAATGTCTCTGATGGGTAATGAGTAGTTATCTGATGGTTTAAGAGTTGTGTGATGACTAATGTGACTGTTTTATGCTTAGTTCTGTGATGGTTTATGAGTTTTGTGAATGTGACTGTTTTAACCATAGTTCTCCGATTATTTGCTTAAGTTTAGGTTTCTGATATTCTGTTTTGGTGAGACTATGTGGCAACACTCTCTGGTTTCCTTTGTTTTATCTCCTTATTTCTATTTGTAACCTTTTTTAATTTTTCCGATGTTGAGTTTTGATGACTTCTTTTCTTCTTTGATTGTTTCATGTGTTTGGAGGTTTACTCGCGACAAGAAATCGAGACTGGTTCGGAAGATTACTAAAAATTTTACAAACAAATTCGATGGTCCTTTCTATAGCTGGTCATGTGTGCCTCGGGATAGACAAGAAAGATACTTTCTCGAGTTTGCGGTACAGTGTTCTGTCTTATATCCATGACTATGTAGAATTTTTTGTGTTTTTTTCACTCACATTATCTCTGTTTTTTTGTAGAAAACACACACCTGGGATCCATTAATCACAGGGACTGTGCAATATCACTTCGAGGAGATCATCGGACGCCGCATGAAAGACATGGTTAGCGGCGTAAGGACTTCTCGAGTTCAACCTACGTGGATTGGCAAAACTATCTGGGAAACAATGTGCACTTACTGGGACACAGAAGAAGCTCAGGAAAGGAGTAAGACCTATTCCAATGCTCGTATGTCTGACCGCAACGGTCTCGGTCCTCACATCCACTTCTCAGGGCCTAAGTCTTATCAAGAAATCCAAGACGATATGGTAAGTTTAATTATGTTACTTCTTGTTATTAAACTTTGTAACTATGAATTCAGACATCTGTTTTGGAGATGTTAATATCTGTTTATTTGGTTACATTGTAGGAAGAGGAATTGGGAAGACCGGTAAGTCTTGGTGAAGTTTTCATCAAGACACATACAAGGCCGGATGGTACATATGTTGATCGGAAAGCGGAGAAGATTGCAAAAACTTATGAGCAGAATGTGCTTGATAGGTTGAATGAGCTAGAGGCAGATACTTCTGCAGTTTCTGATGGCACTTCACGACCTCGGGAGCTCACAACAGAGGAGAAAACCACCATCTTTCTTCAGGTTCATTTTCCCAAAACACATTCATATAGTCTTGCAGTTTAAGTTGTTATTCTCTAATCTCTGCCTTTATGTTTGTTTTCACAGTCCACTAAGAGAGATGCAAGGGGAAATCCGTATGGAATCGGAAGTCTGAAGAACACTCTTGTCAGTGGCAATCGCAAGTACCCTAGAGACTCATCATCCTTTCAAGCTCTGGAAGAACAGCTAAAGGATGCTCACCGCAAAATAGAAGAGCATGTTGCATATAATGAAAGGCGAGAGTCTGAGGTTGCTTCCCGTGAAGCTGAGCAAGCTCGAGTCGCGGCTGAGCAAAAGGACAAGCTCGAGCACTTGTCCTTGGTGGAGAAGTATCTGCGTCAAACTGATCCTCAATTCCTCCACTTCATGGCCACTCATTCTTCTTCAGCTGGTACCACAGAGCCAATTCCCCAACAAGATCCATAGGTTGCTATGTGTGATCTGTAACTGTTGTAGTTTGCTATGTTTAAATGGTTTGAACACGAACTTAATGTGTATTTCCCTTGTAACTGTTGTTATTATGATTAAGGTTATTATTGCTTTCCTTAAAAGTTAATTTTGATATTTAAAAATAGATATAGAATGACAATCAGAACCGTAACAAATTATAATTCAGGTCTTACCAAACTTTTGTTCTATCAACCTAAATAGTCGCCTAATAGTCGTAAAAATAGTAGTCTAATAGTCGCATATTAGACACAAAATTTAACGACTACGTAGTCACTAATAAACGTATTCGTATTATTAGTCGCCAAATTGTCGTAACATAGTCACTAAAACTTTGCGACTAAGTTACGACTACACTTAGGAGACCAACTATACATGCGGTTTAATCGTAGCATAATCGTAAGTTAGTCGTATTATAGTTACGACTATGTTACGACTAATATGGCGATTCATCATATATAGTCGTAATTTAGTCGCAAAATAACGACTAATTTAACGACTAAAAAGTTTAGCGACTACGGATTTACGACTATATATATTAGTCGTATGATAGTCGTCTTTGCATGTTTAACGACTATTTTACGACTAATGTTGTAGTCGTTAATGGGCTGATTTCTTGTAGTGAGCTCCAAACATACCAACTGATAGAAGATGCTACCAGTAGGAAACTTAATATATACATGGGGCAGTATTAGTGCAGAAACAATGTAATAACAACAAGTAACCCGAATAATTGCAAGAAAACCTTACCTCCAATGGCGATAACCCCAAAGAAAGACGTTTGACTGAAGTTAGGGATTCAAGAAGCTTCTCGTTGATTATCTTAGAGACATTACTAACATTTGCCTCCACCAACTCTGGTGCATTCTCAATCAGACAAGATTCGAGAGCCTTAAACCCTTTAATTTTCAAGTACTTCAATGAAGGAGCATTTATCACATAGCCCGTACAATGTTGTGCATCATTGTTATCATAAATTGTTAGTCTCTGTAAAGATGGCACTGCAATAGTGAAAGTCTCCACTTCCAGTAGATTTCGTCGATACACAACCAAATTTTCAAGATTAGGGCAACCAGATAAAAGGTTATAAACCGAATCATCGTATTTGTAATCCACATTCTCAAGACGCAGAGTTCTAAGAGACTTCAAACAAACCGGAGAAGGGGCATCAACGAGAATACAACTGTTGAGTGTCAAGCTCTCTAGTGTTTCACAATTATACAAACTCGTAGGAAATTTGAAAGACCCTTTCTTAGATACAACATGGAGTACCAACTCACGCACACGGCGTGCGTATGCAATTCCAATCCACATCCCAACTTCCACAGCACGACACTCGCCCAACCAAAAATCGAGATGCAAACTCTCTAGAAACGGAGCTTTATTGGAAAGCAAAAGCCTGAAACAATCTCTGAGTATGTCTCGTGTTCACTTTGATTGTTTTCATAATCAAACTTGAGTTTAGGTACCAGCTTCCACATATACCTCCATGGTTTAGACAAAACACTACTGGAAACAACATCTTTTACTGGAAGCATGGACAATATATGCAAAATCAGAGCTTCAGGCAACTGACTGATCCTGTTCTCATTCACAACACCTTCAAGTCTCAAACTTTCAAAAGCCCAAACAGAAAAGAAAATTCAAGAATCAATTGGTTTGGAGCTAACAGTTTTAAGGAAACCCTAGAGCGTAAACACACATAAAAACATACCATCGTTTCATTGTCGTTGATAGAGATACTCCAATTGCAAACGCAGACGCGGTCAAAGGTTCAGAACGGTCGCGTTTTTGGTAGAGGAAGACCTAATTCCTCTACCAAAAAATCCGGCGGCGGTAGAGGGAAAGACGTTAGGGTTTTTAAGAGAAGGAGTCTTCTCTCTGCTTTTGACGGTGGTTTCTCAGCATTTTCGACTCCAACATTTTTTTTTTTTTTTGTCATCCGAAATTAAAAAAAGCTCAAAAGAGCCATTCCTGAGGAATGTTGTTTACATAGGTGTTGTGTAGCGGTTCCGTACGAACTTTTCGTGCCAGATTGTCCGCTTTAGTATTAGCACATCGAGAAATTAGAGAAAGAGAGAAATTGGAGAACTCTTCCTTGTCGCTCTTAAATTCCTCCAAATACACTGAGAAGGCCGGCCATTCGGTTGGGGAAGACACCATCTTCACCAAGTCAGAACAGTCTTTAAAGAAAGCTACATCTTGATTATCTGCACCAATCATACACTTCATCGCCCAAAGGAGGGCCTCAAATTCTGTATGTAGCGGAGATAGGCTTCTACGGAGGTTAGCAGCTCCCCTTGTTGTCGGCTCACCATGTGATGGTGTGCAAAACCACCCTAGTCCGGAAAACTTATCATTGTCCTTCCAAGATCCGTCCACAAAACAACGATATCCCGTGAAATTCGAATCAATAGACACCCCCCTCGTCGAGGCCGGTTTGGAGTTGCCCATGATTCTTGATTTTCACTATGAAGCTCCACTTGATCTGATTGCCACAATTGTGCCTCTTTTTCCGCTAGCCGTAAAACCTCTAGCGGATCATTATCAACATTTCCAAAAATCTTTTCATTCCGTGCTTTCCAGATATACCAAAGAATCCATGGATAAGCACTGGAATCAACCTCCGAAGGTATCCTCCAAAATAGATGATCTAAATTCGCAAAAATAGAATCCGAGGGGAAAATCCCCATAGCCGTAGGAATTTGAGAAAGTGCCCAAACCTATCGTGCTGGGTGGCACTGAAAGAGTGTGTGATTGACTGTGTCCTCAGGTGCACCACATCTAGCACATCCTGAGTCACAAACAACTCCTCTCCTCTTTAAATTCTCTATAACCGGTACACAACCCGTTAAAATTTGCCATAAAAAGTGACGTATCCTTGGTGGACATTGTACTTTCCAAGTGTTAGCCTTTAACTTAATGAGATCTGGCCCAATGAAATAGGAGCTAGACTCTGACTTATCCAACCTTGCGGTATGATACCCCGACTTAACTGAATATTTGCCGGATTTTGTAAAGTGCCAACCCAAAGTATCCTCCTTGTGTATCGCTCCCACTGGTAGGGCACTAATTAATTCGACTTCATCCTAGTCAAAGATCGCCTTAAGGAGATCAATGTTCCAAAAATTCGACCGGCGGTCGATTAACATGTTTACTTTAAGAGATGGATCCATAATAGATCCATTACTTTTTGCTGGTCTCGGGAATTGAGCTAGAATCCATGGATCCTCCCAAACTGAGATAGAAGTCCCAGATCCGACTCTTTTAATAAGTCCTTTTTTAACCATAGATCTAGCTGAGCATATACTCCGCCACCCATACGATGGGGAATAAGACTTTATATTTTCCAATGGGTTGGATTTCCGATAATACCGCCCTTTAAAAATCCTTGCAAAGAGAGAATCTGGAACCGTGATTAATCGCCATAATTGTTTAGCAAGTAATGCCGAGTTAAAATCATCTACGTTCCGAAATCCTATCCCTCCTTCCATTTTACTAGTACACAATTTATCCCAGGCCATCCAATGCATGCCTCTGGATTCACCATTCGAGCTCCACCAGAAATTAGCAACTGCACTGGTAAGTTTAGAAGTGATTGTTTTCGGTAGTCTGAAGCACGATATCACATAAGTTGGTAATGCCGCAGCTACCGATTTAATCATCACTTCTTTCCCACCTTTAGATAAAAATTTTGCCGACCATCCGTTAATTCTTATCTGTAATCTGTCTCAGACGAAAGAGAAAAGTTTCGTCTTGGAGCCACCTAGACTTTCTGCAAACCGAGATAAGAACCCATACCACCGATGGTAGTGATACCTAAAGTAGATCTAATCTCCTCCTTAACATCTTCAAACTACCTTATGTCCAAACTGAATCGAAGATTTCGAGTAGTTAATTTGTTGTCCCGAGACCGCTTCATACTGCTTTAAAATCCCCAAAATTACCCCGCACTGATCCTTATTAGCCTTACAAAAGAAAAGGCTATCATCCGCAAACAACAAGTGAGTAACCGGAGGGCATGCATTTGCTACTTTTATACCCGTAATTAATTTCTCCCGTTCAGCTTTCCGTATGTTCGCAATTAGTACTTCTGTACAAAGAATGAATAGATAAGGAGAAAGCGGATCTCCTTGTCGTAATCCTCTCTCTGGAATTATTAGACCACGAGGTTGTCCGTTAATGAGAACCTTGTATTGGACTGTAGTGATACACCACATTATCCAACTAATCCATTTTTCACGGAAACTCAATCTGTTCAAAACCTTTTCAACGAAAATCTATTCCACCCTATCATAAGCCTTACTCATATCCGTTTTTATAGCCATGAATTTTCCTTTACAGGATGGGTTAGTTCTTAGCCCATGGAACATCTCTTGTGCAATAAGAATGTTATCCGAGATTAACCGCCCTTCAACAAAAGCCGATTGTGTTTCCGAGATCAGTTTTGGTAAAACCGTCTTTAGTCTTTGACAAAGAATCTTCGATATAATCTTGTAACCAACATTGCAGAGACTAATAGGTCGTAACTCCGTCATCCTGGTCGGTCTTTCCGTTTTTGGAATTAGACAAATGTTTGTCGTATTCAACCGTTTATCAAAAATCTCATCCTCTAGGAAAGAATTAACCAAGCATAAAAGATCTACTTTAATGGTAGTCCAAGCTTTTTGAAAAAACAAAGCTGTCATACCATCTGGCCCGGGAGCCTTCTCCGGGTGCATCATAAATAGAGCTGCTCTCACTTCTCCCTCCGTTGTCGGAGCTATTAAAAAATCATTAATCTGATCTGTAATCAGCCTTTGTACTTCTTCCAACATATCCTCAAATTCCTCGGGTTTTGTCGTAGTAAATAACGTCTGAAAGTAAGAAACCGCAATATTTTGAACCTCTTTATCCTCCGTTGACCAGATCCCATTCTCATCGTGTAAACCCGTAATTCGATTCCTCGCCCGTCTCTGTTTCGTTAGAGCGTGAAAGTATTTCGAATTATTGTCTCCTAATTGCAGCAAAGAGCTTCTACTTTTCTGATGCCAATATAATTCCTCATCCCTATAAGCCTCTTTCAACCGAATTGTTAAATCCGTAATCTCCACCCGTGATCGACTCTCATCTCGCTGCGCCGCGGATAGTTGTGATTTTAAATCCTCAATTGTTTGTCGACCATATGGGGTCAGCTCCCGTCGCCATTTCGATATTGCTCGCCGACAATTGGTCAATTTTTCCACAAATTTCCCATCTCCTGGCTCAGTATCAAAATTCCAACCAGTTTCAATTGTCTCCAATAACCCTTCTTTTCCTATCCACCTTTTGTCAAACCTGAAACTTTGCGACTCCAACATTTGTAACTTTAAAATCTAAATAACGTTCTATTTCCTTAATTTTAAAACTTGAATATATTTTCTCATTTTTTGTTTTTCATTGCCTCTAGTCGTCTACGGCTCTACTCTTAACTATTTTTTTGGTCGAAAATAATAATTATTGATTAAGAATTGAATAAGTCATGGAACAATTTGCTCTGTCGTTCAAGGAGAAGGATTAGAATATGTAGAATAATAATAGTTACAAGAGTTACAACCATGTTCCTACCAAAAAAAAGAGTTACAACCATGTTTAGTTAGAAAGGATAAAACACCCAAAATCAATCCGAAACAAAATTTCATTTAACAAACATATATGTTTTGCCATTACTAGTTTACTACGGCTATTTTTTAATGATAATAAACACACAAATGAAAACCAAGATTTTATAACCTTGACAATACATAAAGCTCAGAATTTTGAACCGGTTAAACATACTATAACTCAACATCGAAAACCAATGCGAATTTAAAAACAGAGTGAAATAAGACGTTTATAACACTTGGTTGCATGTGTTATCAGTTTCTTTGAACACAAGTTGGCACTTGGCATCGAAGCCATGACCACATTTTCCAATCCTTCACCTTCGTAATGTGTGTAAGTTACATTCGAACACAAGCTGGCATGAATTTGAAGTCCTGACCACACTTTCCAATTCCTCCACCATCTCAAGATTCTCAACCATGTCTTGAGAATTGTTCTCTTCATAGATTTTTCTGGTGAAAGTTGCTTTCTTCAAACGATTTGAGTTCCTTAGGATGTATTTGGCCACCACCTTTTCATCTTCTCCAAGCTTTTTGCAGCCTTTCCACATGAATGTCTCGAGATGAAACAACAAACATCCAGGAACATTCTTTGGTTGATCCCAATTCCTATTGGCTAAATGATTGTTTTCACCAGACCATTCCTGAGACCAACGAAGGAGAAACACAGTGTATGCTATTATTAGATCCATCACAAAATTGTAAACCAACTTGGAACAGATGAACATTGCTTACACCAATGAGCTTGAGGACTTTCAATTTAGGAGAACTATCGAGCATCAACAAAAGTAGATTCCACCACTCTGCTTTATTTGTATATAGCTCCAAAGATACCAACTGATAGAAGATGCTACCAGTTGGAAACTTAATCTATACAGGAGGCAATATTAGCACAAAAACAATGTGACAGCAACAAGTACACAATCAATTGCAAGAAAACTTTACCTCCAAGGGTGATAAAGCCAAGGAAAGACGTTTGACTGAAGTGAGGGATTCGAGAAGCTTCTCATTGATTATCTTGGAGACATTCATAATAGTTGCCTCCACCAACTCCGGCGCATTCTCAATCATACAAAACTCAAGAGCCTTAAACCCGTAAATCTTCAAGTATTTCAAAGAAGGAGCATTTATCACATAACCACCATGCCCTTTTGCATCATTTGCATCAACAACTGTTAGTCTCTGTAACGATGGCACTGCAATAGTGAAAGTCTCCATATCCGGTACTTCTTGATACAGTACCAAATTTTCAAGATTAGGGCAACCAGATAAAAGGTTAAGAAATGTTTCATCTTCTTTGTAGTCCACATAGTCAAGATGCAGAGTTCTAAGAGACTTCAGACAAACCTGAGCAGGGACATCAACGAGGACCCAACTCCTGAGTGTCAAGCTCTCTAGTGTTTCACAATTATACAAGCTTGTAGGAAATGTGAAAGACCCTTTCTCAGATATAACATGGAGTACCAAATCACGCACATGGCGTGCGTATGCAATTCCAATCCACATCCCAACATCAGCAGCACGACACTTGCCAACCTTAAAATCGAGATGCAAACTCTCAAGAACAGGAGCTTTATTGGAAAGCAAAAGCCTGCAAACAATCTCTGAGTATGTCTCGTGTTCACTTTGAAAGTTTTCATAATCAAACTTGAGTTTGGGCACCAGCTTCCAGAGAGACCTCCATGGTTTAGACAAAACACTAGTGGATACAACATCTTTTACTGGAAGTAAAGACAGTATGTGCAGAAGCAGAGCTTCAGGCAAGTCACTGATCCTGTCCTCATTCACACCACTTCCATTTCTCAAACTAAGAAAAAGAAAGAAAAAAAACATGAATCAATTGGTTTGGAACTAACAATTTAAGAGAACCCTAGAACAGTTGATAGAAATAGGATTCAGAGAGATAACAATTGTTCATAAAACATACCATCGTTTCATTGTCGTTGATAGAGACAAAGATTGGGCAAAAATCGAAGTGAAGAAGACCAGCTCGGTTCAATTGCTGTTTCAACTCCAAACCAATAGAAAACGAATCAATTCAAATCGGAGTTCGACCAGTAAGAGAGATAACGGCGGTGAGAAAAACCGGGAGACTTTACAGCGGAACTTAGGGTTTCAGAGGAGGCGGAGCTGAGTGGGTCATTTTATAATCACAATTTTTACTTGGGCCGGATGAGAGATTTATTTACCGATACAAACCGGATGAAAACCAAACATCCCGCAATTTCGATTTTGCATAATTCTGGGTTTTTCTTTTAACGTCTGGATTTATTATTTATTGCAAATTATGAGAACTGTTACATAGACGATTCTACAACGGACAATTCCTTCCAACCCTTATTAGATCCACGACAGACGACACCTTCTTCACCTTCTTCTTCATACTTACCTCTTTCACCTCCTTCTTTATGCTCTTGATGGACACTTCCCTCTCTGCATAGAATCCTGGCGAACGGCTATAATTGTACATCGCTGGAGATCTCCTGCACACTTGTCTCCAATAATCTGCAAATTTATTAATAAATCGCAGTGTCTGGGACTCGAACCCCAGACCTCTGGCTGTAGAAGCATTAATTAACCCTTGTTCAACCAATGTGCCAAAGGTGTAGAAGCATAATTCCGGTTTAAAGGTATTTTTAAAAAATTCTAAATTCTCTTTTCTCTAATTCATCTACACTCATATCATTCTCTGTTTTTGTTCTCCCGTCATAATTATTTTACTTAAATATCTTTTAATTTTTGTTTGGTTTATTGAAATCCAAGAAAATCTTTTGTTGTTGGAATGTTTTGGATTTTCAAGGATTCAAAAAATGTCGTACATCAAATCGTCAATGAGAAGTTTTACCAAATCTGAAACCGCAAATATTCAAAATCCAAACAACAGTCTCTTTTTTAATTATCCATTGAATGTCTCAGCTTAAAATTTGATTACCAACATCAAACTCTCAACTAAGTCAGGAAATTTTGTCTGGTCTTTCCAAATCAGTTAAAGTAACAGAATAGTAAAGATAAGCTGTGATAACAAATATTCTCCCAAACATATAAGTTTCATTCATATGAACACAAGCCGACATGAATTCGAAGCCCTGACCACGCTTTTGAGCTCCTCAACCATCTCAACTCTCTTGTCCGAGCTAATTTCAATTTTGGAGAAAGTAGCCTTTTCCAAACACCTTGCGTTCCTTAGGATATATTTCGCCACCTCTATCTCATCTTCTAGTTTCCCTTCGTAATATGTCCACACAAATGTTTCGAGGTGGAACAACAAACATTCAGGAACATTCTTTGGTTGATTCCATTTCGGCCAAGGCCTCCATTCCTGAGACAAATGACGAAGGAACACAAAATAAATAATTTAGATCATCAAACCCAAAACTGAGCTGGAAACATTGTTGAAAGATGAACTTACTATCTTGAAACCGATGAGCTTGAGGAATTGTAAATTAGGAGAAGTATCGAGCATGTGCGTAAGTAGATTCCACCAATCAGTTTTATACGCAGATGTGGACGTCGAATTCACACACTCAAATACTTGTTTATTTAGTGGGGAAGATTATTCTTGAGGACAAATATCAAATATATAAAAAGCTGTTAATTGCTATGGAAATGGCTATAGTATATTTGCTAGACAAATTGCCTGTCCCTTACATGGCCTTTTGCCCTTATATTTATACTAACAAACGACATTTAATTCCAAATTGAATACAATTATTCTCTCTTAAATGCGTCCGTTTCAGTCTTCGAGTTTAATGCTTTAAACGTTCGAATTTGAATTGACTCTGATCTTCATGGGCCTCGCCCTTCAGCCCAAATAATATCGAGCCGAACTACCCGCGACTTCAACTCCGTTCTCATCCCGAGATGCAGCCATTTCGATCTCTCTTTGCGGTGTAACCACCTCGCCCATGCCTTTGGCCTGAGGATCTAACGGGCCTTATCCCTCGTGGGCTTCTCTTCCACCTATGTGGCAATCTTTGGTTGATCCCAAACCATCCGTGTGGGATCCGACACCAACAGCAGATAGCTCCAAATGTGTCAAGTGATAAAAGGTACTACGGATAGGAGGAAGTGTAATCTATACATGAAGGCAATATTAGTAGAGAAACAATGCAATAACAAGTACCTCGATTTAATCACAGGAAAACCTTACCTCCAAGGGTGATGATACCTTCAAGGAAAGACGTTGGACTGAAGCAAGGGATCCAAGCATGCTCTCAAAGACTTTACGAGACACATCAATAATACTTGCCTCCAGCAGCTCAGGTGTATTGTCAATTATACAAAACCCATCATCTACTAAAGTACCTTCAATCTTCAATTATTTCAAGGAAGGAGCATTTATCACAAAGACAGTAAACTCTTCATCATACTCAACAATAAGTATTAGCCTCTGCAAGGATGGTACCGCAATAGTAAAAGTCTTCACATTAAATTCTGTAGATTGATGAATCACCAAATTAATTTTCCAGGCTAATACAACCAGATAAAAGGTTAACAACTGATTCATCGGTTTTGAACTCCATTTTGTGATGGTGTAGAGTTCTAAGAGACTTGAGCCAAACCGGAAAAGGGACATCTATAAGAATGTGATGACTGAGTTCCAAGGTCTCTAGAGTTTCACATTTATACAAACTTGTAGGAAATCTCAACAAATTCCCACAGTAAACTTCGAGTACCAACTGACGCAGTTGGCTTCCAAACGCGATTCCCATCAATATCCCTATATCCATAATAAAGGCATTATCAAAGTTCATTACGAGATGCATACTCTGTAGAACAGGAGCTTGATGTGAAAACAAGCACTTGCTGACATTATATCAAAACCTCTCAAAATCATTTGTGGCATTGTAGATAAACTCAAGACTCGGAACCATCTTCCAAAGAAACCTCCATGGTTTAGCCAAAACACTCATGGCAACAACTTCTTTTGTTGGAAGTAAGGATAATATCTGCAGAAGCAAAGCTTCAGGCAACTGACTGATCATGTCCTCATTGCTCCAACTTTTACTGTAAAACAAAAAAGCCCCAAAATTCAGGAAACAAAAGAACACGAATTGGTTTGGAGCTTACATTTAAAGAGCAGTTCATAAAAGACACATACCATCGTTTCATTGTCGTTGATAGAGACAAAAATTGAGAAAGATTCCAAGTGAAGTAGATCAATTCGCTGCTGATATTATCGCTGTTTCAAACGCAGACGCATCGCAAATACTACAAACCAAACTCGTGCTCTTCTATAGAGAACGAATCAGAGATTATACGGCGGTGAGAAAAACCGGTAGACTATCTTACAGCGGAAGTTAGGGTTGCGAGTGGGTCATTTTATTATACAAATGCTGTTGAGAGATTTATTCACGAATACAAAACCGGATGATAACCGACCATCCCTCCAATTCGATTTTGTATAATTTCGGTTTAATGTTTTTGAGTTTTCTCTTGTAAATAAATGACATTTATTTATTTTTTCATCATCAAATATTCAAAATCCAAACAAAAATCTCTAAAATGAATATTCATACGTTGAATGCCTCAGCTTAAAATTCGGTGAACAAATATGTTTAAAATTGGTTAACAAATATGTTACAACATCAAACTCTCAACCAAATCAGAAATTTTTGGATGGTCTCAACTAAAGTAACAGAACAGTAAAGATTAGTTGTGATATAAGATTCATTTGAACACGAGCTGACATGAATTCGAAGCCCTGACCACACTTTTGAGCTCCTCAACCATCTCAACTCTTTTGCTCGGTTTAATTTCAATTTTGGAGAAAGTTGCCTTTTTCAAACGCCTTGCGTTCCTTAGGATATATTTCGCCACTTCTATCTCATCTTCTACTCTTGCTTCATAACATGTCCACAAAAATGTTTCGAGGTGGAGCAACAAACATTCCGGAACATTCTTCGGTTTATTCCATCTCCCCCAAAGGCCCTTATTTTTAACATTTTCCCATTCCTGAGACCAACGGAGGAAACACAAAATATATCACATATAAATTAGATCATCAAACCCAAACTGAGCTGGAAACATTGTTGAAAGATGAACTTACTATCTTGAAACCGGTGAGCTTGAGGACTAGTAAATTAGGAGACGTATCGAACATGAGCGTAAGTAGATTCCACCACTCAGTTCTAAATGTATATAGCTCCAAATATGCCAACTGATAAAAGATACTACCGGTAGGAAATGTAATCTACACATGAGGCAATATTAGTAGATGTAAATCTATACATGAAGGCAATATTAGTAGAGAAACAATTCAATAACAATTAACTCAATCAATCACATGATAATCTTACCTCCAAGGGTGATAACTTCAAGGAAAGACGTTTGACTGAAGTGATTGATCCCAGAATGTTCTCATAGGATGCTTCATCGATAACAATCTTTGCCTCCACCAGCTCAGACGCATTCTCAATCATACAATATCTGCCTCCACCATAACACCCATCAATCTTCAAGTATTTCAATGAAGGAGCATTTATCTCAAAGACAGAATCATCAATTTCATCAATAAGTGTTAGCCTCTGTAAGGATGGCACTGCAATAGTGAAAGTCTTCACAATGTCATATCCACAACGATTAACCATCATCATCATCATCTCTCAGACTTGCCTCCACTAACTCAGGTGTATTCTCAATCAGACAAGTGGTATCATCTAAAACCCCATCAAACTTCAAGTATTTCAAAGAAGGAGCATTTATCACATAGACCGAGTCTTCATCATCATTTTCAGCAGTAAGTGTTAGCCTCTGCAAGGATGGCACCGCAATAGTGAAAGTCTTCACATCAGCTTGTTCAAGTCGATGAACCACCAAATTTTCCAGGCTAATACAACCAGATAAAAGGTTAAGAACAGATTCATCGTCTTTGTACCCCACCCCGTCTAGGTCTAGAGTTCTAAGGGAATTTAAACAAACCGGAGAAGGGACATCAATAATAATATTTTGACCGAGTATCAATGTCTCTAGTGATTCGCAGTTACACAAGCTAAAAGGAAATCTAAACAACTCTTGGCTGCCGTAAACATAGAGTACCAACTCACGCACATGGAGTCCAAACGCAATTCCCACCAATATCCCAATAACCATATTAGAGAAAACATGAGAATTCATTTCGAGATGCAAACTCTGTAGAACCGGAGCTTGATGTGAAAGCAAACATCTGCTGATATTATCTGAAAACATCCGTCCATCAAACTCAAGTCTCGGCACCATCTTCCAAAGGGACCGCCATCTTTTGGACAAAACACTTGTGGCTCTGACATCTTTTGTTGGAAGTAAAGACAATATCTCCAGAAGCAAAGCTTCAGGCAATTCACTGATCCTATCATTATTGCGAAAACTTTGACCACAACTCTTCCTGTAAATAAAAAAAAAAAGTCCCAAAATTCAATAACACCAAGTTAGTTCGGAGCTTAGTGTTAAAGAAACCCGTAGAACAGTTCATAGAAGAAATTAAACATACCATCGTTTCATTGTCATCGACAGCAATCAAAGTGAAATAAAATCTCCTCTTGAATTATTATTATTCCTTCCCCAGTACTATCGCATTTACAAACACTGTTTCAATCTCCCTCAAACGCAGACGCATCGCAACATTCCAAACGCTAGCTCTTCGATGGAGACTAACTCAATTCCTAGTGATCTTAAAATCCAGCTGCGTTAAGGCAGGACGAAGAAGTTCGACCGCTGTGAAAATCGACGGCGGCGGTGAGGAGACAAAAACTGACGTTGGGGTTTCAGAAGATACTGAGCGGAGGCGGAATGTGGAAAACGAAACGATGATGGATCGGTCAAAATTATCCACTTGCGTCTTTAAACCGGATTTTGTAGTTCCGGTTCGACATCTTTTTTTTTTTTTTTTTTTTCGGCAAATCAAATATATTGATATCAAAAAGTGTTTACAAGATACACAATCATTTCTAAACATCTTTACGCAAATACAGAAAATTATTACAATCGTTCCGGTTCGACATCATCCCGTTTACTTGTGAACTTAAAAATTGGTAAGTTCGGAGAAATTACAGTGCCGATTTTGGTCTAATTTTGGTAATTTGTATTTAATTGCAGTAATTTCAATGATGTGTAGCATAAATATTTTGTAATTTCGTAAATTTAAATTCTGTAACTAGTAATTAATTAACTCTTGTATCAACGAGTTAATTTCGACCTCTTTGCTATAAGTAAAAAAAGTAATTATCTTCTTCCAAGAGAGTCTCTGTTAAACTCTTCATCATTCATCAGTCTCTGTTACTTGCTGCAAATCTCCACAAGTAGCCAGGGACTGAACATGAGGCCTCGTGGGATAAAGAACACGCCTACACGAGCACGAGTCAACATAAAAAAAAAAAAAAACACTAGGAAGACATTTTGAATGGTCTTTCCAATCTAACAGCCTATCAAAAGTTAACTATGAGAACAAAGCCTCTCCAAATATATAAGTTTTATTCAAACACAAGCTGACATGAATTTGAAGCCCTGACCACACTTTCTAACTCCTAGACCATCTCAACTCTCTCTTTCGAGTTAATTTCAATTTTGGAGAAAACTGCTTCTTTCAAACGACTTGCGTTCCTTGGGATGTACTTCGCCACCTCTTTCTCACCTTCTAGTTTCCCTTGGTAACATGTCCACACGAATATTTCGAGGTGGAGCAACAAACATTCAGGAACATTCGCGATATGTGATAGATGCTCCTTCAGTCGCAACCCAAATCCTGAGGGAGGCAAAAACACGGCAGAATTTTACGGCTAACGTTAGGGTCTAGGAAGGAAGAAGAGGACGAAGAAGTCGGTACGGTAGAGATCGGAATAAGAAAGCTTTGGGCCTACTCGGAGGGTCCGAATAAGTCTAATATTGGCTGACGTGCCATGCACGCGTTACAGTTAATTAGAACGAATTTTCGTAATTAACCATTTTTCTTTTTCTTTTTCTTTTTCTCTTAAGAGTGGAAAGTAAGACCATCTCCATTAAAGGAGAGATTCTATCTTAATATAATATTAATGTTTCTAATTTAATCTAATTGAATAATTAAATGATTTATTATATTTTAGATTCAATGCAAAACATTTGAGTTCACTTCAGAGACGTTAACTTTTTTATTCATTCTATTTTTTTTAACAAATCAAAATCTGCCACTAAATAAAAAATTAAAATTATCCATATAAATAAAAAAATTAATAGAAATCATTAAAATAAATTATATAACAATATACGTTAAAGTTTATATGTCGATTTGAGTTTAGAAGAAAGGAGTTAGAATTTAATATTACAATTATAAACAAAGTTATATATCTGTTTGATTTTATAAGAGATGATTGGAGTTTAGATTTTACAACTAAACGAGATTAAATGTTGGTTTAGTTTTATAAAGAAGAGTTCGAGTTTAAATTTTACAATTAAACGAGATTATATATCGGTTTGGGTTTATAATAGAGGATTATGATTTAGATTTAATAATTAAACGGAGATTATCTGTCGGTTTGACTTTATAAAAAAACGGTTAGGTTTTAGATTTTACAATTAAATGTGTTAATTAAATAAAAAGTTTTTGGTAAGAATAAAATTCAATGATTGTTTCGGTTTTATAAAATGATTAGAGATTATATTTTACAATTAAATGAGTTTAACTTTTTTTTATTAAGTGACATAGTCTGATTGGTTAGAAAAAGAGAGAGAGTGAATAAAAGGATTCACCCTTAGAGGTGAACTCAAAAATTGTTCGGAAAAAACATAGAAAGGGGTTTGGCTTTGAGAAGATGAGTCATCAAAGCTCTATTTCAACAATCTCAATGATCATATTGAGGTCTCAGGCAAAATAAAATAAAAAACCGTGATCACCATTATCTACATTACCACAATTATCTTGGAACTCCCATAAGTGAGTTACATGTTTTTTTTTTCGTCAAGTGAGTTACATGCTTGACTGTAATAATACATGTTAAGAACATGATGTGCACAGAAAGATGTCGAGCTCTATTATATGTTTCTCATGCTGCTAGTTCCTTATCTAATGGTTTGAAAACTTTATATCCTCTTCTATTCTGATTATAGCTACCAAAGTGCAGCACTATATGAAGGCCTTTTAACAAAAAAAAAGTGCAGCACTATAGCTGCAAGATGTGCAACCAACATGTTTTTCATTCATTTTGTCATATTTTTCATGGCAGAAAATTGTAGTCACTAAAAAACTCTTATATTGATTAGTTTATGAATGAGCTCTAGAGCTGAGCTGTAGTTCTTCTTTTTACATTTAAAGACAACGTGAGTGGACAAAAAATTTCGGATAGAATACCAGATAAAGTAAGAGTCCATACTGCATTTTCTAAGTCATCAATATCACCATCATTATATAAGAAAACTTTATTCGTTTTATTGTCTAGATTTTGCACCGATAACTTCGCAATAACCAATATTCGATGCACGTAGTTAAAACCGTAGACCTGAGGTGTACACTTTGTACTCATGGTAATGTTGTATGTGGAGACTTTGATGAATTTGCTGAGGAGCAAGAAGACCACCTTACATTAAGTGGTTTTGAGGTCAATCATGCTCCGGAAAGAAAACACTATTGTGTGTGCATGAACATTGGAATGAAGTGGGTCCATACCAGGCAGCTCCAGAACTGCTACTTCGTTCCTTAATTCTTGGTAGAGCAGTCCATCAGATGCTACCTCAGAGCATAATGATCATGATCGGGGATCACACTTTTAATAGGACAATGAATTATTTAAGAGTCGCAGGATACAACGTCTTCCTAATCAGCTCTTCGCGTTCAGGAGTCTTTGGGGATGTCTAAGATAAAGCATGGAATTGGGAAGGTAAGTTGTTTGTTGATTGATTCAAAACTAAATTTGGGTTTTAGGAGTTTGTGGTTTATGGGTTTAGCAATAGTGGGTAGTTCCAATTAATTAGCTTTTTTAATTTGGGACTTTCTTATCATGGGTTATGGGTAGTCATCTTCTTTTTCTATTTAAGTTTCTTACTTTGTACTTTCAGACTTTGTACTTCTCAAATTTCAATCGAGCAAATTTCAAAACCGGGTTTCCGTCTTCTTCTTAATTTACCTATATCCTCTTTGAAATCTCTCTTCGAACTTCTTCATGATGTAATCTTTCCCAGTTTGATTCATTCATATACTTGTTCTATTTTCTTTTCTTCTTTCATCCGCGTAAAGTTGAAAAAGTAAGAGTCTATGCTGTATTTTCTAAGTCATCAATGTCGTCATCATCATATAAGAAAACTTTATTCGTTTTGTTGTCTAGATCTTGCACCGATAACTTCGTATGTAACCATTATTTGAAACTGTACCGTAAGATGTTTTGCTCAAATAACAATTATGATCAAGTTCCAATAAGGTTTGATGGAAAACTCTTGTACACCATAGTGTAAAAAAATCATTACTCAATCATTTAATTATCATGATACTGGAAATTTTATAGTAAAATCATACTTGTTATTTTCTATTAAAAATATTATACTTGGTATTTTTTGAATACTTCATGTAAATTTGATAGATTATTAGAAGTTTACTTATATAATTTTACATTTTTATACAAGTTAGTGATTTAAAAATAATACTTATTTATGAAATTATTCAAGCAGTAACGTAAAACCATGTTCATTACAGAACCTAGTAACTTTTTCAGATTCTTATATTCTTTATCTCTTGAATTTAGTTAATGAGATCCCAAGACTACTCCACAACATATGTTTTATAAATTTTTAATTATCCAGATCTTATTAAAATAAAAATTCATATTTGGCCAATCTAATGGCAGATTCTTTAGCAAAAAAAAGTTTTGTTTTCTTTGGGTCCTTCCTCATCCTCATATGGTCTGTTGGAACATGTTTATTGCATAACACATAACAAAAGATTAAAGAGTATAGAACCATGAATATTTTTAATCATGGAAAAACCCTAAAACTAGTAATAAGCACACTGGTTTGATATTTGTATCTAAAATAGATTTGAAGCTTAAATTATCTTGACCACCAACAGATTTTTTGGACTTTAATTAACTCAGGGGATATTAAATATCTAATGCAATTAAATACAACTTTGTTTTAATTCAAAGAAACAATTAATAACTTGTCAAAAAAAGGGAAGAGATGTTTGACCCTCCCACTGGCGGTCAAACCCAAATAATGATAATCACTTTCTTTCCCTGTCATCAATCTTTGACTTTTGACTCTTCCTTATCATCCGTTACGATTTCGCCACGTGTCGTATCATCTCTCTTCATATAAATTCTAAACACCGTTGGATCATTCATCTCTTGTTGCTTGCTGTTATCTGGGTTCCGTCTCCGTCTCTCTCTGTTTCGATCTGTTTTTTTTTGACCAAAGAAACTTTTTTTTTTTGGTCTTCCTTATTCTTTCTTCAATGTCGTTGAACATATCTGACGATACTTGAATCTCACTCTTTCTTCTCTGATTTAGTCTCAATTTCATCTTATCTCTTCTCACTTTTGTTCTGAGAAATTTCGATCCCAAGCTTTTTCTCAGAGAATTTTGACTGGAAAATTTCGTAATTAGGGTTTTTGAGATTTGACATTATTCTACGATGAAAGCTTCGATTGAGAAGTTAAGGAGATTAACATCGCATTCACATAAGGTTGATGTGAAGGAGAAAGGAGAGGTCATGGCTACAACACAAATTGACGAACTCGATCGAGCCGGGAAGGTAACAAAATTAACGCTAACTTCATTAATTTCGAAATATTTATCGCAATTTAATGTTCTTACGAACTTGGGTTTTTGCGGAATCGTCGAGATTTTAGTAGGGTTTATGCTTTTGGATCGAGTTTCTGATTACTTAATTGGCCGGAAAATGCTAAATTTGAAACCATTTTTAGGAGTGAAGAACAAATTTAGAAACTTTTTTGAATTGGTAGCAAATATTATCACTTAGATTGAGATTTAGGGCTATTCTATTGAAGAAGCACTATTTTAGTTATTGAATTTGACTTTTATGTATGGAAAGTTTCCATTTTTGTTAGAATGTTATGATAGTAAACCTTAGACACTGTTCTCTTGTGATTTTCAGGATATGCAAGATATGAGAGACTGCTACGATAGACTACTCTCCGCAGCTGCTGCCACGGCAAATAGCGCTTATGGTAAAGAAACATCCAATTGTCTGTGTTACATGCAAAATGCAAATAGGTTTTTAGATTTTTTTTTCTTATACTCTATTGTTATACTTTGGTGGGTTTAGAGTTCTCTGAGTCGTTGGGAGAAATGGGTTCTTGTTTGGAGCAAATCGCGCCTCATAACGACGAAGAAAGCAGTAAGCGCTTTAGATTAGCATATTATAGAATTTTACTTTCCTGTGTATGATTTATTGTAACATTGTTTTCTTCTGTAGGTAGAATCTTGTTTATGTTGGGTAAAGTTCAGAGTGAGCTTCAAAGACTTCTTGATACATATGTAAGTTGGTTGTTGCAAACATGTATTCTGCAAAAGCTCTATTTATTACTCTATTAAAGCTTACTTGATCGTGGTTTTCGTTCTTCAGCGTAGTCATATATTCAAAACCATTACATCCCCATCAGAGGCGCTTCTCAAGGACCTCAGAACTGTTGAGGTATACCATAATTTTCTACTCTTGTATTCAAGAAATGCTTTTACTTTTTGTTTACTCATCTTTTTACCTTCATAAATGAGCAGGACATGAAGCAACAATGCGACGAGAAGAGGTTTGTTTAATATCTACTTCTGAAGTTTTTATTTTTTAGTTTGGATAAATTTTTCCTTCAACAACTTCTTTACCTGTAAACTCTCAGGAATGTGTATGAGATGTCGCTAGTAAAAGAGAAAGGAAGGCTTAAAAGCAGTAAAGGAGAGAGGCATATTCCTCCCGAGTCTCGACCTGCTTACAGTGAGTTTCATGACGAAGCAACAATGTGCATTTTTCGATTGAAATCTCTTAAAGAAGGACAAGCTCGTAGTCTCCTTACACAAGCAGTCCGTCACCACACTGCTCAGGTAAAGCTTATGTTCAAATTTCGTCTGTTTATTTAATATCATTGAACTTTGGTGATCGTCTTTTGTGTTTCTGACTTTTTTTCTTATAATTCTTTGTAGATGCGTTTGTTCCACACTGGACTGAAATCTCTCGAGGCAGTTGAGCGTCATGTAAAAGTTGCTGCAGAGAAACAACACATTGACTGTGATCTATCTGTTCATGGGAACGAGGTGGAAGCTAGCGAGTATGATGATGATGATGATAGCCGATATATGAACAGAGAAGGAGAACTCAGTTTTGATTACAGAACAAATGACCAGAACGTAGAAGCTGCTTCTCTCTCTACACCATGGGGCTCAAAGGTAAGTTGATTTTGACGGTAGAACGATACATACACACATTACCTATAAAAATTGTTCTTATGCTCTTCTCTTTATATCCAGATGGATGATACAGACCTCTCGTTTCCTCGCCCTTCTACAACACGACCAGCAGCGGTATGTTTTTTCAATATTTGTGTACCAAATTCTCTCAACTGCATTTAATTGGGTTGGTGAGAGTCTAGTCTGATAAGTATTTTACTTTTCTCTTGCACAGGTAAATGCTGATCATAGAGAAGAATATCCAGTTTCAACCCGCGATAAGTATTTGAGCAGCCATTCAGCTCCTTTGTTCCCAGAAAAGAAACCTGATTTATCAGAGAGGTTGAGACAGGTGGTGAATCCATCTTTTAATGCCTACGTATTACCAACACCAAACGATTCAAGGTACTCGAAACCGGTTTCCCAAGCTTTAAATCCGAGGCCAGCAAACCACAGTGCTGGAAACATATGGCATTCATCTCCGTTAGAGCCGATAAAAAGCGGGAAAGATGGGAAAGACGCGGAAAACAACAGCTTCTATGGCCGCCTCCCTCGGCCTTCTACAACAGACACGCATCATCATCATCAGCAGCAAGCAGCAGGAAGACATGCATTTTCTGGACCTCTCAAACCGTCCTCAACAAAACCTGCCACCACGGCGGACAGTTACTCAGGCGCGTTTTGTCCTCTGCCGACTCCTCCAATACTCCCTCATCCCCATTCATCAGCTTCTCCAAGAGTCTCCCCTACAGCTTCACCTCCTCCTGCTTCTTCCCCGAGACTCAACGAGCTTCACGAGCTTCCAAGACCCCCAGGCCACTTTGCACCACCGCCAAGACGAGCCAAGTCCCCTGGTCTGGTTGGTCACTCGGCGCCTCTAACTGGATGGAACCAAGAAAGAAACACGGTCACTGTTGCTCCTCCGTCTGCCACCAACATTGTGGCTTCCCCACTTCCGGTTCCTCCGTTGGTTGTCCCTAGAAGCTACTCTATACCTTCAAGAAACCAGAGAGCTGTTTCTCAACGGCCGGTCGAAAGGAGAGATGATATAGTAGCATCCCCACCGTTAACACCAATGAGCCTGTCTCGGCCTCTTCCTCAAGCCACAGGAGTTGCTCAGACCAGTCAAATCAGAGGTAAATCGATTGTTTCAAACTCATTTTATTCGTTTACATGAAAATAATCTTACAGAAACAAAATTACATTTTTGAAATATTAAGCATGTTCCATAAAACGCAAATGAAATGTTCTTGTTTGAACATTTGTTTGCGTTTGGACTTTGGAGTTTAGAATGACACTTTCAATCTACATGCCAACGCAAACAACTCGAAATGTAAAATACTCGTTTTGTAAAAAGTATTTGATTGCATAATTCATAAATGGATTTTGTTTGCTGTGGATTTATTGAAACCTCCATAGGCTATTAATCATGCAGGAGTAGGAAAGCTGATCGAACGATGAGGCTGCTGCGTCTGCGTCGCGTTTGACCAAAACGCTTGTTGTACAAATTCAGAGATCTTCACAAGTGAATATAGAAGTCGGTATATGTATTATTCTTTAGTTGGTTAATCTCTTTTTTCTTTTAAGTTTCTTTTTTTTCCCATTGTAAATCTGAAGCCTCTGCTCTTTATTCCATTTTCATTTTCAATCCCTTCAATTTTTCTTCTTTCACCCCCTTCTATATCCAAAACCTTAAAATAAAAATTTCGAAAATTCAGAAGTGTATAGCGAAGTCTATTTATGCCTACGTCTGTCCATTTTGCAAGTCGGGATGGGAGTCGCGGATAAACCACTCACATCCGATGTGTTTGTAGAACCGCTTAGGACCACTTAAGTGCGTTTGAGATCACTTAAACGCGTTTAACAACAAAAAAGCATAGTTCCAATTCATAAGAGGTAACTTGATCTATCGAGATGACGGGCGAGGCAGTGGTCATCAAGGAGAGCATGAATATGTAAACTCCACATCAAATAGTTGGTGCTTGTGAGTTTGGTAACATTAGACATGTTAATATTGAGGACGGTGTTTGTGGTGAGGGTAATGACATCAGTTACGTTAACAGAATTGTCTGGTGTGGTTGATATGATGAGGAAAAAGATGACTGCTAGAAATATCATATATTCATATGGTATCAGATGAAGCTCTGATACCATATATGATAATCTTATTGATAGAGGTGATCGAGCTGAATATATACACACATAAACCTTTTAGGATATTCTAATTACATTTAACTATATTTACATATATAGAATGTACGATTTATCAAATCATGTATGTGATTGATCCTTGATATCCTTAATAACCTCCACAGTTTAGACGTCGTCTGAACATTTAGCGTTTTTAAACGACTATCTAAACCGCTTTTTACCAAACATGTAATTTTTTTTGACAAAAACAGATATACGATGAAAAAATCAGAAGGGAGACGGGTTTTTCCGTTCTGAAATGGATAAAGTCTAAAGTTATTTATGCCGCATAAAAAAAATTACGTCTTACTATTTTTCTTTTTGTCGTCTAAAAAGTTACGTTTTTCTAGTTTCTAATTCTATTCTTTTTTTTTTTTTTTTGTCGTCTAGAAATTTTGATTAAAATTGAAATGAAACCTTACAACAAGCCAAAGGCCCAAACGAGGGAAACAAAGCTGGCGAACAACTAAAACTCGAAACTAAGCCCAAAGAGACAGGAACTAAGCAACAACACTACGAAAGAAAAACCAATGCCAAAACACAGAAGGCTAAGGAAACAAATGTAGAGAAAATCAAACCTCTAACTCAGAATCTAGCACCACACAAAATGCACAAATTGCCTACCAACAATCCAAACAGCGAGAAACGCTTGACATAGTGGCTGACCGATGGTGACGAGTAAATCCACGACACCGGACAACGACTCCTCCTTTAACAATGAAGACTACCTCACAAATAAAGAGAACTAAAGCATCTTTACCAGCAAGAAGGGAAGACAACTAGAAACCACACCCAACTTCTGGAAACGGCGAATTCGAAGCATAAGATATAACCACGAATTGTCCACGCCAAGAAAGATACCAATGCAATAGAGAGACCTCGATCAGGTCTATACCGTAGAGACAAGGACTGAGTCCAAACAATCCGCATCAAACCGAAGACTGGAAACGGCAAGAGCACGAACAGGATCGAACAACAAGCGAACTCGGCAGGACAGAGACTAGGCAAAAGAAGAAGATGCTAAACCACAAAAGACTGAATATAGAATTGATTCCAGCACACCCACCAACCCACCAACAATGAAGGCAAATCAACAGGAACCCAAAAGAGAATCGAAGAGAACAAGGCTAACGAAAAAGCAAAGAGCAATTACCAAACCACTAACGCCTAACCACTAGGGTACCGTTGCAACCCTACCCAAAGGAAGAGAGCCAGACCACAAGTAAAAATTAGCCGCCGTCGTAACCACCGATTACAACCTTCGTCGAAACCCAAATCTGAGAGGACAAAGGAGAAACCCAAGCTTTCTCAACATAGAGAAAAGGAACTTCATCCACACCACAAGCCATCGACGAATCGAAGAACACAGCCATGACCCTTTCAGATCTAAGATCCAAAAATTCTTCACCTTGCCAACAACAACCAAGGCTCCAAAACCCAAAAAAGACTAAGCAGAGAGCAAAACCATAAAGAAAAACAGACAGAAAGACCGACGCCGGCGAAGCCGCCACGCGCCGGTCACGCGCTTGACGAAACTATTTGCTTTCTCTGGTTCTTTATCGCCGAGGGAGAGAAGATAGTATATACTTCCTCCGTTTCAAAATATAAGACGTTTTAGTTAAAAGCACGCAGATTAAGAAATATCCACTTTTAAAAAGTTCAACCAATCATGAATGAGACTGCATAATATAAATAATCAGAAAGCATTAAATTAATATATAATTTGCATAGAAACTTGAAAACGTCTTACATTTTGAAACAAAAATAATACCTCAAAACGTCTTATATTTCGAAACGGAGGGAGTACTAAAGTTATGAGTTTCTAATTCTATTCAAATATATTAAAAAATAAATAATTTTCCGTTTTTATATACAGTATATTTTTTTGAAAAGTATTTAAAATATTTCGATAAAAGTATGGTAAAAGAAAATTATACGTGGCGGATATCTTGGGACTAGAGGAGGAGGGAGAGGAGCTAAGAGACCATTCGTCGTCGTCCATGGAGATCTCTGCGTCTGCTTCTCTAACTTTCTCTGGATTCGTTCCTCGTCTTCTTCCCTTGCTCTCTCCTCAAGCTCCAACTACCTCTTACAAGCCGTTGCTGTCTTCTTCTTTTTCTAATAGACTCATTTCTTCTCACAGTCGTATAGCTCCGTCTCAGTCTCTCGCCGATCAATCTGCCTCCACCGGTTGGTTTTCAAACCCTAATTTCGAAATTCAGAGAGTCCTAAGTCTAGCGAAATCGTTAAATTGATTATGTAACAAGTGTTGGACGATATGTCTGATGCTGAAATAGTCCAAATTTTGGTGCTATGAGTAATGGCTGCTCTAGGAAACGAAGAAGTTGTACTAAGTTTATCTGATTGATCTGTTTCGGTTTATTGTTTGTTGTTAAGGGATCAGTGTTGTTGATTCGGATCCCATAGATGTTGTAAAGGTGAGAGTTTTCATAAGAACCAGCTTTTCCTTCCTCTTTACTTGAGAAGTTCCTTAACCATTTCCCGTCTGAAACTCAGAGGAAAGCTATGGACATAGCCCCTGAATTGAAAGGAGCTTCGATATTTCTGGTTGGTAAGGCCGACTTGGCTATGCTCTAATATTTAAACTAACTTTCTACTTCATATGGACGGACACTGATGTGTGAGCTTTAACACTTTGGAATAGGGATTAATAACTCTATTAAAACGAACACGGGGAAGCTTTTGGCTGAGGCATTACGATATTACTACTTTGATAGGTAAGTACTCGTAAGTTGATCAGAATCACAGTCTGCTTTTATAGTTTTTAGGAACCCTTATAGTTGTTGAGAGTGACCGGAATTTCAGACATTCTTACTGTTACTTATCTGTACTTATCTTTGTTTGAATCCAACTTAGAATACGTGTGAGGTATTTTAGGAATCCAGTTTCTTAACTTTATCCGAGCACTAGTGTTAAGCTTTAAGCTCTAATCTCTCTTTTGGTCCTTTACCTCCATAACAGAGGGTTGCCACCTTAATATTTCTCCTCTTCTTGATAACTTCAAATTAGATGTAACTTTAGTTTACTTTTGTTGTGTAGTGATAATTTGATCACAGAGGCGGCTGGTGGAAATGTGTCTGCTCAAGCTTTAAAAGAAGCTGATGAGAAGGCTTTTCAGGAATCAGAGGTAAACTCGATCGTTGTTCTGCATTTTCTGTACAAATGTATCTCTGGTCCAGTTTCTGAAAGAGGATTGATCTCACTTACAAAAATGTTTTGACGATGACTTTCTTTCTAACATGTTTCTGCAGACTGAAGTGCTGAAGCAGCTATCATCTATGGGTCGGCTTGTAGTTTGCGCTGGAGATGGTGCGGTCCAGAGCTTGACAAATCTGTATGTTCTATATACGTTTCAGTAGTTTCTCTAGCAGTTCGAGCTCTTAAAAGACGTACACATGCTGCTTATATCTTTTAAATTTCTCTCCTGTCTCTTCTCATTGGATCATAAATGTTTGAACAGTGCACTTCTAAGACACGGAATCTCCATATGGATCGATGTTCCTCTGGATATCGCAGCTAAAGGGGATGATGACTCATTCAACTCAGAACCATCTCCTGAGGTTTGTCTTCTTTCTTTCCTCTTAACTCCTTAAATTTTCCGTTGGTGTTATTACAGAGAAACTGACTTTCATGATGAATGAACACAGTTGTTTGACACACTAAAAGCGAGTTACGAAAAATCAAGAAAGGGTTACGAAACAGCAGATGCATCCATTTCCCTTGAAAGTAAGGATCTATCATAAGTTAAATAATGAAAATTTACATTACAATTTTTATTATGCGACTGATTCTGCTTTACTTGGAAACAGAAATAGCCACAAAACTGGAATTTGAAGACTTGGAAGCAGTAGCTTCTGAAGACATAGCTTTGGAGGTACATATCTCGAGCTCTTTTTTTGTTTTCATTTTGACTTAAAGATTACAAATGTGAAAAGTTTAGTTGATGAACAATGTTCTTCAGGTCCTGAAAGAAATCGAGAAGTTGACTAGAGTGAAGAAAATGATGGAAGAAGCTTCTCGACCTTTCTAGGTCGATTTTACACTCTCACTCATATGATTTATCTTGTATATCATCTCGACATTAATGTAGCTTTTTGCATAAAATTTAGTGTTTTCGTTTTTCATTTCATACTAGGATTCAACCCTCGGTTCACCGCGGGCATTGGTTTTATGCGGTTTTTCTATTAAGTATTTGATAATGTTCTATATACATAATTTATATTTTGTTTTGTTTGTTGTTAAATTTTTAATTAGGAGAAAGGGTTTTAATGTGGTTAAACATGTGTATTATTTTATATATCTGTATCAAAATTTAATATCGTATAAACTTTTTGATTATAGATATATCAAATTTCTAATATATTCATTAAGTTTTTTATTCAATCCGCGGTACATCGCGGGTATCGATTTTATTTGGTTTTCATATTATATATTGAATAATGTATAATTTATAATTTTATAAAAGTATTTATGTTTTTTACAGTTAATTGAATAAAAAACGTTTTGATTTTTGTTAAGTAGAGAGAAGAGAATGTTTACGTGCGGTGCGATAATCTTGCAGGCCAATTTACTCTATATCTATGGAGTGGGAGACATTATTTGGAGTAAGTATTTTAGGTCAAACCGTTGGAAATCTTAAATTTGGGAAAAGATGATTATTTAACCCATTTAATTTGATATTTAAATTTAGATCTGGTTTATTTCCTACAATCAGTCACAAAGATCTGGTTATTGGTTTTGGTAACAGTAGTTAGGATGTGATTTGATTGTAGAATGTTTTAATGTTTTTTTTTTCCTAATTCAAGAATAAAATACCGCGGATTTGGTTGTTTCAATTTTTAGAAATATTCCTAATTACTCGCTTGAAGAATATATGCTCATATTTTCGATAGCCAACATATTTACAATATTATTTTTGTTATGGTTTTAACGAATTTAGTATTCGTCATTCAATTTGAAAACTTTTAAATCCCCTAGATCATATAAACTAATTTATTTATGTGTTTCAATTGTTTTTTACATTAGTTGCTAAAATGAGAAGATATGATTTTGTTAAAACGACCCTAAATATAATGGTTGCAAAAATATATTGAAAATAGGGTTCAACCCGCAGTACACCGCGAATGTAGGTTTTATTCGGTTTTCATTTTATATCTTTAATAATGTATAAGTGATAATGTTAATAGAAATTAAATTAAGAAAATATGCTGTAAATAATAATGCTTGTGAAACGGAATTTTTGTACATTATAAAATCATAAGTTTACATGATCAAGACAAAAGTAAACAAAATAGAAGGTAAATTGCGTTTAGTGACATAAGTCTTAAAAAAAAAAAAAAAAAAAGGAAAACAGAAAGACGTTTCTTACATCTTGATTTCTGATTTTCTTCGAGCAACTCTATAATCCGATCAGAGAATCCATCGATTCAGCATGTATATCCAATCAGAGAATCCATCGATTTTGCATGTATCTGGGCCGATCTAGATCGTTGGTAACTCAAACACGAATACAATTAATGTTCTTCATTTGTTGAGTTCTCATCTCTATCTAATTTCCTAAAATCTAACCCAGATCATATTTGGCTTCAATTGAGTGTGAATTATTGCAAAGAGAAGCCGGATAGCCACTCATGAAGGTAGGAAACACCATGACCGATATCTGAAGGTAGACAGGAGTCGAAAACCCCGATTGTCTTAATCCGGGCAAAAGTTAGATTTCGATGCGTGCCCATAAACCAATCAATCATCATCTCTATAAGGTTATTTTCTCAGTTATTATTTTAGATGAACATTTACATTTTGTGCATTCGATTAGGGATAAAAATCAACTTAGGTGTTTCTGTTTTGTACAAAAAGTTTGAAAAGCCATTTTATTGTTAAGGAATGCAATTTAGATGAAATCGTTGATTTTTTAAACAATATTTGATTGAATTGTAGTAGCATGATAAGAATTAAAAAACTTATCATTGCTTGAATGTGTTGAAAACCAAATTCACAACCAAACTAAATCGTTACTAACTAACCATTGTAAAACAATCGGAGAATCATATGGTTCTTCTATAAATTGCAGATATGCAAGACACCGACTTGAACTCTCCAAGCCGTTTTGTACAGCTTCACATCATCAAGGAAAGCAATTGATTGAGACATTGGAAAAAAGAAAAATGAGTCGTTTGTTGTGAGTAAAGGTAATTGTTGGATGAGTAAGAAATAAGAAAGACGTTTGATATTTATAGTGAAGTAGAATGTTAGGGTTTTTGGCTTTAAAATTTTTGAAAATCTTGTAGAGGAAGCAGAAAATATTGGATATGTTAACTATCATATCTTCTCATTGGCATCAAAATGAATGATACACGATTTTAGGGGAAATAAAGATATTGTATTGTAGTTTATGGTTAGGATTATATTAGATCATATATTTAAGAAATTTAGTTAGCAATTAGGCGAGATATAGAGAATATCTTACAATGTAATTCGAATATGCCTTTAATTCGATACCATATATGTTGAATAGTTAGGATCGAATAATTGTTTTTTTTGAAGTTGTTAAATCCGATTAGTGATTCGTTTTATTTATTTGGAGATATTTGATCCACTAACCACCCGATTAGAAACACGCGGATCCTCTAATCGTTTAATAAGATTTGATGACCAAATTACCCTTGACGATTTTGATTAACAATGAACAAAATCCAAAATTAAAATTGAAATTGAGGCCAAATTAGACTATTTTTCAATTTGTACTTCCCTTTTAATAATAAGGGGATACTACCCAACTAGTGACATGTGTTCTACAAGACGAGGTTCAGCTTTGGGTGGAGGAGAATCATCTGTCCTCATCTCACGTGAGATCGATCACGTGCTGGGCTTAATCTATTGATCCACTAGTATGTGGGCCTTGATTTATGGCCCACTAAGGGATAAGAGCGAGAAATAGTGAAAGGGCACAAAAAAGCTCATCCCAGTTCCCAACAGCTTTCTTGTCTCTCTCGTCTTTAAAAAACAAAACAATTATTTATTTTTTCTCCATTTTTACTGTTCGTTGGAGTTATTTCTTTACGGTGAAAAAGACAATAAAAACGGTAATGTTTATTGATTATTAACGATTTATCATTTATTAATGTAATAAAAGTTGAAGAAATTCCTGTTTTTTGGTAAAATATTAACGGGAAAAGAATGTTTAATCTGGGAAAAACATTTTCGTATAAAGATAAAAGTGAAAAAATGTTAATTAGAAGGAAAAGAAAAAGAGAGCGATGTTAATGGCGATGAGTTTTATTGGGATTTGTTTTTATAAAAACAGATTGAAAGATAAGAGAAGAAGAGAGAGAGAGGTACCTCTTGCTTGCTTCTTCTTTCTCTCACGCACCCCTTTGAAATATTCTTCTTCTCTTATACCTTTTGGATTCGTCTTCTTCTTCGATTTTGAGTTTGATTTCTAATTTTGGATCCAGAGGGTTTATCATCTGAATGATTCTGAAATGTTTTATTGAACATATTGCTTCATCGGTGCGTTTTTTTTCGTCATTTGATTTATCAGAGTTTCGTTATTGCATCGGTTTTATGAGTTTTACCATGTATGTTGTTGTTGTTGTTGATGATGAGCTGCTGCTTTTTTTTTTTCTGGGGATTTGATGATTTGTCTCCTCCTATGAGAAATGTTTTTTTTTTTTTTTGATCAGATTGATTTGATCACAAGTTTATTATCCCATGCAATCTCTCTGGTTCATTTTGTAGTTGTGGTTTTGGATCATTGATTTGTTTGATCACTTGAGGAAGATTTTGTGTCAGTGTTCGATCATTTGTATTTTGTTCAAATCTTATTCTAGTGATGTTTGCTTGAAACTTGTAACACTGAGAATTTTTGAGGATCATTTTTGTTTCCGAATCATGATTTGGTTGATCGTTGCTTATTCTTTTAACTGGAATCAGTCATAACTTCTTTTGAACCATTCCCTGATAAACTTCTGCACTTTGTGTTCTATTGATGCTTAAGCTTAAGAGTCTAGCAGTATGTGTATGTCCTTACTCCTTACTGTGTAATTGATTCGCTTTCTCCATTTTATGTTTCAGGAAAGGGTAACTGCAATGAACTCTGTATCTGTCACCCTCTCATTTCATGTAGCTTCAGACTGCTCTTCCATAAATCAATGTCGGATAAATGTTAAGTGTTCGATTTCTTGTATGCGGGTCTGTAGGCAAGCAATGCACGAATTGTGGATGCCTGTGACTGATACATAGTTCTAGATTTTTATTTATTGTTCTGCTAGAGATAGAGGTAGTCAGTATTGTTATTTTCAAGGATTTGGTAGTTTGTAGGGAGTTTCTAGATAAGTAGGGATTTGGAAACTCACATCTCAGAAGTGACCATAAACCCTTTTACTTGATAAATTTCATTGAGCATTAGTTATGGGTCTGCCACAGACTGCTTCAAGTGAACAGTCCCAGGAAGCTTTGTCTGCTCCAAGTTGTAGCCTTTCGCAAAGTCTGCCTGTGTATGCCACTTCCCATGATTCAGATGGAGGAAGCGAGGGAGGCATCTGCTCTTCCATTGGAGAATTTGATAGAAAAACATCATTGGAGCCTTTCCATGGCACTTGTGTTGTTACCTCGTCAAGTGCTCATGGATCGACTAGTTATGCTGCAGGTAAGGTTGGTTCGAGTCTAACTGGAGCTAGGAGAATAGTTGGTTTTGCATCAAGCGAAACTAGCTCACTGGACAACAAACAAACGAGTGTCGCTGTTGATCACTCTCTATCATCCACTGGTGGAGTTACAGGAGTAGATATTGGTGGAGCGTTAGTCAGGAAACGAGTACTCTCCCCGTTGAATACTCTTTTCCCTGTAAAATTCAGAGGTGACCTGCTTGATATCAGCTGTGGTAACCATCAACAAATTACTTATTCTGGTCAGTCTAATGGATTCTGCAAGTCTGTCGCACAAGATCACAATAAGGCTAATACCCCTAGTAGGTTACATCTCTCTACCACTCCTACTACCATAACCACATCTAGTTGCTGGGAGTGGAAGAATGCCTCAAACAGTGGTAGACTCTCGTCCATGGTCTTCACTGATGGTCCATTGCTTGACTCTGTAGATCTCCGCCGACCCATCAAAGGTGAGGTTTGCTTATATTCCCCACTACATGAAACGTCTAGCATACCCAATAAGCCCTTACCTTGTGATAAGGAAATATCTGTGTCTCCACCGCTTTGTCTGTCACCACTTGGTCCGAAGTTTTCTGAGACAATAAAAGCTGTAAGAAGTTGCCAAAATGGGAAGATACTGGAAGATTTAAGGAATATCAGTGAAGAAGCAGAATTAAGAGTCGATCGTAGATTGTTTGATGATGCATATGCCATTAGGAGAGAATTTTCGATGGAGAGAAGTACTGAATCAGCTCCTGCATCTCCATGTAAGAGGTTCATTAGAAGCTTGAGTGGTCGCCCCATTCAGAGGTCATTGGTTGGTTCTTTTGAGGAGTCACTCTTGACAGGACGATTGTCATGCGGGCCAACAAATCAGGTTTTCATCTTTGACTTTGATGCTTTGATGACTCATTTTATAGGTCATAAGAAAGTTACATTCTTTAACTGTTGTTCGTCCCTAGTTATGACAGAAAAATGTGCAGCTTTAGAAATTGAGGATTGGTAAAACTGGCTATTGCAGACGACTGTTTATAGATTTTAATATAGATATGCAAAAACCAAAAGGAAAAAGTCATTATCACCATCCTGCTTATGCAAAAGCTATAGACTCAGAACTAAGCTCCTTGGAGTAAAAAAGATTTTTTTTGTTTGTTTTGTAATTTAGATTTTTGACTTCTGTCTGCTCTTTGTGTACAGAAGATTGACGGCTTCCTTGCCGTTCTTAGTATTGCTGGGGGAAACATCTCTCCAAAATCACAGAAGCTTCCATTTTCAGTAACTAGTGCTGGTGATGATTGCCTCTTGCTATACTATGCCTCCATAGATCTCGCTGGAGGATCTAAATTGAACAAATTCTGGGGCCAGAAAATGAAAACAAGTCAAATGAACTCTGATGCTCAGAGTTCGAAGAGCCAACTGCGGATCCCCATGAAGGGTCGGATTCAACTGGTACTCCCTTTTTCTTTATTTTTTTTGTTCTATTAAATCTGCATTTAGTATAGCTGCTATTGGATTATAAAGGTATGGCTAGAAGCTCATTTGCGGGTTGCAGTATATATCATTCGTCATAACCGCAATATTCTCGTGTAAATGATTTTGAAAGACCAATTAGCGGGTTAACAGCTGCAATGCTCTCTGGATTCCAATAGCCAAGAGTGTATGAAGTATTTTCAGGTGTTAGTTATGGTTGTTTTGATTGCCAGAAGACAATTTAGTCCTTTGGTCCTAGCAAATTATGAGTTAGACATTTGTTTGAATGTTGAATCGTCACCTAAACATTTGTAATTGTAATCCCTGACAAGTATCAGTTCTAAATGTGTCTAATAGGAGAACACAAAGGTCAAGGTAATAGGCTAAGTTAAACTGTTTCTCTGTGTTGCTGAATGCTGATAGAGAGTTTCGAAAAGCTGTGAATGTTCACTCATGATATAAACTGCTCTATTGCAGGTTCTTAGTAACCCTGAGAAAACACCTCTTCACACCTTCCTCTGTAACTATGACTTGACTGATATGCCAGCCGGTACAAAGGTAATAGAGAACATAAAAGATAACACCTTTTTATTTGTTTTCATTTTAAGTAGAGGAAATGATTTTGTATAGAAACTAAAATAATTAGGGAATGATATAATGTGTCTGCTATAGACATAAGAGTAATTCTATTCCTTCTAGGAAAGCACCAGGCCACAAGCAAAACATGATGAAATCGTAGTTTTTATCATTGCATGTTCTCTGTTGTATTGATAAATCGAAGTTTTGAACATTTGGTTTATTTTGGTATTATGCAGACATTCTTGCGCCAGAAGGTTACTCTGGGATCATCTAATCCAACTAGTGAAGCAATGCAAGAGAACACTAGAAAATCCAAAAACTTGGAAAAAGAAAATTCTAAACAGGGGGACAAAGAAAGTTGTGAAGGATCTGATATAGTAGATTCAGTGGAAGGAGATGAGAAATTTGATGAGTTACATGAAAGTGAAAAAAGCTGTTTAAACACGTCCAAAGAATGTAACGGTGGTTCTGGTGCTCTACGCTATGCTCTTCATCTGAGATTTCTTTGCCCGTTACCGAAGAAAGCTTCAAAGAAATCTGACGAAACTGAAACCACAGGGCAAAAGAAAAACTTGGATTCAGATGGGAAGAGGAGATTCTATCTGTACAACGACTTAAGAGTCGTGTTTCCTCAGCGCCACACAGATTCTGATGAAGGAAAGGTACTATGAGATTTGTGTTTCGAGTCTTGACCATCATTTCGCAAATAGCTAAAATTAGTTGAGTTTAATTTTTGTAAAGTGATAATAAAATCATTTATTTGTCTTTGACTTGCAGTTGAATGTGGAGTACCATTACCCTGGAAACCCAAGATACTTCGACATCACCGAGTGAGAACTGAACTGGTTCAGCTTCATGGTTACACAAGCTCAATGGTTTTCTTGTTCAAGAAGAAATCAGTGGACTTTTTTTGTACATACAAATTTATAGTCACAAATCACAATGGCTCTGACCCACTTTGTACAGTTTACCATTTCGGGGTTCTCTTTTTCCAAGAAATAAAACGGGAAAAAACCCGAAAAATACCTCATCTATTTTTTATTTGGACGTTTAATACCTAATTTTTTTTTGTTGGAAGAAAAATATCTTCTTTAATTATAATTGGTCGAAAAATACCTTATTTTTAAATTGTTGGTAGATTCAAACATCTGATTTAACGGTCGTTAACGGACATAACGATATCAGTAAACGACGTTAAATTATAACAGAAAAATAGCCGAAAAATACTCAATCTAATTATTTTTGGAATTTTAATACCCCAACTTTTTGGTTAGAAGAAAAATACCTCATGTAAAATATCTTTGTCTAAAAATACTTCATTTTAAATTATTAGTAGATTCAAGTATGCGACTTAACAATCGTTAACAATATTACAGAAACATTTAACGACGTTAAATATTAACCCTGTCTATATAAATAGATATATACAATTTATTTTCAAAATTTTACAAATATATTGGTGTGATCAAAACTCAATATTACTTCGTTAATACGATCAAAACTCAATCTTTCTCGAACCATTTCTTCCATCTCTCCACTTTTACCTAAATTCTTCTCCACTTCCGCAACTATGCTACTCCACGACCACAAAAATGACAAATCTATCGTCGTCGTCATCTTTGTCACAATCTCTCATTTGTTAGTTGCAGAATCGTTACATTCCATCATCAAAATGATGTATTTAAATTTGCAGAATCTCTCATTTGTTAGTTGCAAAACCCTTCTAACTCCAACGATGCCTTTAGGAATGAAAAATGATGTATTTAAATTTGTAGGAGTGAAGCAAATGATGTATTTAAATTTGTATGTCATTCATTAAAGAAAATAGGAGATCAAAGAAGTTCTATGAGGGTTAAAAATCATATGTGTTACCATTAGATCAAGTAATATATTTGTAAATGTTTGTATAAATATTGTATATACTAACAATTCAAAAATGAGGTATTTTTAGACAAAAATATATTTAAATGAGGTATTTTTCTTCCAACCAAAAAGTTTGGGTATTAAAAATCAAAAAATAAATAGATGAAGCATTTTTCGGCTATTTGTTTTGTTATAATATAACGTCGTTTACTGATACCGTAACGTCCGTTAACGACCGTTAAATCAGAGGTTTGAATTTACCAATAATATAAAGATAAAGTATTTTTCGACCAATTATAATTAAAGAAGGTATTTATCTTCCAACAAAAAAAAGTTAGGTATTAAACGTCCAAATTAAAAATAGATGGGGTATTTTTCGGGTTTTTTCCCGAAATAAAACTGAATATTAAAAATAATTTCAAAAGCGTTTCATATTGCTGAAGTTATTTGAATTCTTTTTTTTACCTCCAAAACAGTATTTTGAAATAAAATTGCATTTAATTTGAAATATCACTAAAAATGAGACAATGGTTTTGTTTAAAAAAACATCACTAAAATTACTAAAAATGATACGGACGAAGTATAAACAATAACATGTTTATTTTAAGCAAAAAGACTTATATCTATAATTAATTACACAAAAAAATCCAATTCACAGATCCTTTGTCAACTATCAATCATTGATTTTGTATTGAGTTTGCTACCTCAATTATTAATAGAAAATTTACAATAATAGAGAGAAATGTAAATGCTAAAATACCAGTATCGTATATAACACTTCAAAGAGAAAACTAACTAGTTTACCTACAAATATATATAGCAACAAAAAAAAAAATCAATAAATGAGAAACCTCTCAATCTTTCTATTTCTTTTTGGGCTTTGCATGATTGGTGATGTATCCGGGGAAAAAAGTCTATGAATCCAAAAACGACGACATTGGTATAAAATATCTCAAATTTGGTGAAATTATGTCATTCAGCTTCAGGACCAACTTTTGGGGGACGACGGAATTTTGGTGCGACGTATATAAAGGACCTGATTATAAGCGTTTTAGAGGTTTTACTGCATATCAAGCGAGCAGTTTGTTCGTTAAGGACGGATCATCGTATAATTGGTTAGCTAGAGATGATGGAATCTATTTTCATAAGGATTCGTTGCCTAGTTACTATAAGTTTTATTGGAAATAATAAAAGAAAAAAACCTACTACTTGGTTTATTAGGTAAAAAAAAGGGCAAGCTCTATAATTAAAATTTCAGAACTGGTCACAATAAGTATAAAGGTGTTGTATACAAAAAGTGAACTCTGAAATCTATAGTATTGCTCTGAAGTACTTGTAAAAGAAATATTTTATTAAGATATAGTTGATCGATTAATTCGACATGTGCGCTTTTTGTTTATGCCAAAGTAATGGACATTATAAGTACATAGATATGAAGGTTAATATCAGCAACTTAGATGATATTTCATTTTGGTGGACATATTGTTTGCCGCAAATTATATATTACAACTGGCGATACAATCTCCCGATGAGATAACCTCTGCTACGCTGGTACTTAGAAGTTCATACACTAATTTTTGTCAACCATAAATTGATAGTCTCCAATAATTTGTTATTTCCACTATTAATAGCAAACTTATGTTAACAAAGAAACAAGAAACTGTAAACGCAAAAATAGCAATATAGATGTTGGTTATTTATACACCAAATATATATATATATATATATATATATATATATATATATATATATATAATAAACAAGTCAATCCGACAAAAGAAGATCTAAACATTTCTTTAAAAAAAAAAAAACATTTCTACAGAAAAAAAAAAAGAAAAATAATGAAAAACGTCTCAATCTTTCTGATTGTTTTTGGCCTTTGCATGATTGGTGATGTATATGGGAAAAAGTCTATGATTACAGTCAAGAATGAATTCAGTCCCAAAAGCAGGCTAGTCCTCAAGGTGCATTGTAAATCCAAAAACGACGATATTGGTATAAAATATCTCGAAATTGGAGAAATAATGTCATTCAGCTTCAAGACAAACTTTTGGGGAACGACGGAATTTTGGTGCGACATATATAAAGGACCTGATTATAAGCGTTTTAGAGGTTTTACTGCATATCAAGCGAAAGGTTTGTTCGTTAAGGATGGATCATCGTATAATTGGTTAGCTAGAGATGATGGAATCTATTTTCATAAGAATTTGTTGCCTACTTACTTTAAGTTATATTGGAAATAATAAAAGAAAAAAAACTACTACTTTGTTGATGCATGTATTTCAACAAAGTATTTGTAATTTCTTTGATAAGGGAAAAACATTCTCATGACGTTGAAGCTCGGGAATTAGGATGTTTTCGCGACAAAAATAGAGTTTATTTATTTTATAATTGCGTCTTGTGAAAGGCTGCCTACATACTCTTAGAAAGAGATCAAACTATTCGTAGTTCATATTATAACAACTTGGAGCTAGGCCATATTTACAGCTAGGCCATCAGTTGATGAGCTGGATAGTTTAGAGACGAGTAAAACGACCTGAGCAGTCGACTAAGGAGCTGGACGAATTGGGCAATGAGACAGACGAGCTGTGCAGTTAAGCGACGAATTGGACGAACTGGGTATTTAGCTGAAGAGCTGGACGAACTGGACAGCAAAACAGACGAGCGGGACGAACTGGACAGCGAAACAGACGAGCAGGGCAACGAGATAGACGAATTGTCCATCCCTCAACATACTTGATTCATTATAGAAAAAAGGGCAAGCTCTAGAATTAAAATTTCATAATTTAAGTACAAGAAAACATCTGTATATATATTAAGAAGTATAAATAAATGCATTCATATATAAGTTATGAAAACTATGTACACATACATAATTTTTTTTTTTTTTTAATACTAGGAGGTTCTGGGCCAAAAAGCCCGTAATCCCCCCCAGGCCCGAAACTACAACATGTAATATTATTTTCGTCTCAAACTACATATATAATCTTTCACCCACAAATGATGTTCTTCAGCTCTTTTCGCAGAGAGTTATTTTTTGGTCAATCCTGGATATTTTGCAGCAAGAAAATCCTCGAACATACAATACAAACCAACACAAATATATGAGAAATTATTGTGGATTTTCTAAATTAAAACGTAAGTTGGGAGTCTCTTTAATATACCTCTCAATTGGTTTAAAATAGTCACAATTTCGTAAAACAAATGCATGTGCACATTGGTAGTCTTTCTCTAAAAGATATACTTCATGCATTTCCCTCCTTGGACGAATGACATGGGTAAATATATTAGGTACTCCAAGGACATGATATACATGAACTTCACCTTTATTGAATCTTGTTAACCTGATCCAAATGAGTTAATTAAAAGTAATTCAAAATATAATAGATAGCATGCATTTAATTACCTTGATTTTGTTTGTATATGATTGACAAAGTAGTGTTGTGAGACATAATCAATCTCGTCATTGATATATGGCTAAACAATTGATCTTGCTGCATATCTTTTGTTTTTTGCTTTTTTTTTTCAATTTTTTTGAAAAATCTATCAAAAGAATACAGACACCTATAATGGACATGATCTTGCTGAGATCTCTGCTACCGCTGTCACAGAATCATTAGCCAATGTTTATGGTAATAAGCTTGGTTCCTTTGCGACCAACTTTGAGCAATCATTCAACAGTACTCTAAAGATCCTTAAATTGACCAATGAATGTGCAAATCCACATCAGTTAAATAATAATGATGTTGGGAGTTGTAGTTTAGATCGCTCTACAATAGACGGATGCTCGGACACCGAGCTATAGGCATCAAAAACATCAAAAAACTGATGGTGAACAATCTTTTCTAAAGTTGCATAAAATTAAAACAATGCTTTGTTTTAGAATTTGAACGCTATTTATATGCAAAGTTCTCAAACATAAGTTCGTTAAAATACTCCAACCCCTGCAAAATATTGCATCATCTCAAGTTACTAAAAAAATACTATATAATTGGATCATCGATATCGTATAATTGGTTAGGTAGAGATGATGGAATCTATTTTCATAAGAATCTGTTGCCTAGTTACTATAAGTTTTATTGGAAATAATAAAAGAAAAAAAAAACTACTACTTGATTTATTATGGAAAAAAGGGCAAGCTCTAGAATTAAAATTTCATAATTTTTAGTAGATGTCACTATAAGTATAAAGGTGTATAAAAAGTGAATTATGAAATCTATAGTATTGCTCTGAAGTAGTAAAAGAAATATTTTGTTATATTATAGTTGATCGATTAATTCGGCATGTGCACTTTTTGTTTATGTCAAAATAATGGACATTATAAGTACATAGATTATGAAGGTTAAGATAAGCAATTTACTGTGAATTCATTTTGGTGGACATATTGTTTGCCGCAAATTATATAGTGCAAGTGGCGCTACAACCTTCAGATGGGGTAACCTCTGCTAGGCTGGTACTTAGAAATTCATACACTTAGGGCCTGATTGGCAAGTGCTTTAGAGTCTTTACAAAGCAAAAAAATTTCTAAAGATTTGAAATACATCCAATCAAGCTTTAGAAGCTTTGGCTTTCCTTTTTTTTCTCACAGCCAAAATATTTCCTTAATTCATTTTTTTGGCTGTAGAAAGCTTTTTTTCCTAAAGCACATAATTTTCAACTTTCCAAAATTTTAAATTCTACAGCCAAAATACTACAGCAATAAAATCTACAGCCACAGCAAATAAATTGACAGTCTCCGACAATTTGTTATTTCAACTATTAATAGCAAACTTATGTTAACAGAGAAACAAGAAACTGTAAATGCAAAAATAGCAACATAGATGTTGTTTATTAATACACACACAAAAAAAAAAAAACAATTCAACACGACAAAAGGAGATCTAAACATCCCTAAAAAAAAAAAATGAAAAATCTCACAATTTTCATATTTGTTTTTAGCCTTTGCACGCTTGGCCATGTATCCGGTGCCGGAATCAGAATCGTAAACGAACTCAAAAGTAGGAAAACCCTCTGGATGAGGTGTTATTCCAAAGATGACGTACTAGGTCCAACGGTAATACCAAATGGAGGACAGTTTACTGATTATTTCTTTCATAATTTATTTGGTACGACGCGTTTTATGTGTACTTTAAAACAAGGGCCTGGATTTAGTCACAGTGTGAGTTTTAGAGCATTTAAAAATTCTGGTTTATGGGATTGGAGAGCCAGAGAAGATGGGATCTATTTAAGAAGAATCTATAAGGCCAAATTTGATGACGGCGGAGACAATCTGCATAAAGAGCAAAATTGGATATAGTAAACATTAATATCTAATTTATATGTAAGCTTCAATACTCTTCATTAAGACCGATCATATATATAAATGTAATTTTTTTTCTTTTATTGGTTCATTTGGCACTTCATTTTTAAAATAAATTGTAAAACTATTAACACTAATTTATGTGTATTGTTTTCCAATTATAATTCTTTTAAACTACATTATGTGTATGTATAATGGGCCGCCAAAAAACTGAGTAATGGTTTCTAAGACAAAATATAACTTCCATTCATGTCTATCTATAAATATATAACAACCACTAAATTCATGTGTAACTACTAAAGTAAAATCAAACTAGTACCTTTAACTAAATAATTATACTGTATCTACTGCAACCCGCAATCAAAAATCATGCATAGACCCTTCTTCGAATATGTGTGTTGGATTGGTTTCCTACTCCCAATTAATCTTTGTCAAAGTCCGTCACATTAAGATATATAGTTAACAGATTAATTCGGCATATTGGATACAATCTCCAGATGAGTAAATTGATTCACTTACTTTTGTCCACCATAAATTGATACCAATGATTTGATACCTCGACTATTAATAGCAAAGTTAGATTAACATAAATTGATTTGATACCTCGAGTCCTCGACTATAGGCATTAGTCTGTTGGCAAATACAAAAAAAAACACTACTTCTGTTGTTGTGGCAGAGACATGAGATACCAACCTATGAGCTTTTTGGGCTGGACATCAATAATCTAGGATTTGTTTAGGACTTCTTTGAACATGGTTATTAGTTAATATCTATTAATTTGGATCTTTTTATTTGCCATACTTCATAATTATGGTGATCCGGGTCAACATCGAATTAAGGGTCTAGGATTAGCTTGTACATTCTTGGGCCATGAGGCCCCTTAGCCCAATTAGTTAATCTCTTGTACAAAACCCATTAGGTTAAACGTATGTATCGTCGTGTATATAAGACGTTTGTCTTGGAACAGAGTGAATAAGAAGCACAATTTACAATCTCCTTCTCTATTTGACAGCCATGAGGCCCCTTAGCCCAATTAGTTAATCTCTTGTACAAAACCCATTAGGTTAAACGTATGTATCGTCGTGTATATAAGACGTTTGTCTTGGAACAGAGTGAATAAGAAGCACAATTTACAATCTCCTTCTCTATTTGACATGGTATCAGAGCAAAACCTAACTACTAAAAGGTTTTGTGCTTGATCTTGTGATTTCTACTTCCGCTACAAGAAATTTCTTTCTCAAACTCTGTTTATTTTCATCGTTTCTTTGACCTTGTTTTTGTCAATCTTTCTTTGACAAATTCTTTTCACAATGAGCACCGAAGCAGCCCTTGCTACCACCACGGCACCGGTGCGGCGAACCATCTCGCCATATGATTTAACCTCCAGCGACAATCCAGGCACCTTGATCTCCAAACCACTTTTGCGTGGTCCCAACTACGACGAATGGGCCACCAATCTGCGATTAGCTTTGAAAGCTAGGAAGAAATTTGGATTCGCCGATGGTTCTATTCCTCAACCTGTTGCAACAGATCCGGATTTTGAAGATTGGATAGCTAACAACGCTCTAGTTGTATCATGGATGAAGCTTACCATTCACGAAAGCATATCCACTTCTACGTCTCACCTCGATGACGCTCATGAGCTATGGTCACATATTCAAAAACGATTTGGAGTTAAGAACGGGCAAAGGGTTCAACGTCTCAAAACGGAGTTAGCTACATGTCGTCAAAAAGGATTGCCAATTGAAACATATTACGGAAAACTTTCACAATTGTGGAGGAGCCTAGCTGATTATCAACAAGCAAAGACGATGGAAGAGGTTCGGAAAGAGCGTGAGGAAGACAAACTTCATCAATTCCTCATGGGCCTTGACGAATCCGTGTATGGTGCAGTCAAATCTGCGTTACTTTCTCGAGTTCCACTGCCTTCTCTCGAGGAAGCTTATAACACTTTAACACAAGATGAGGAGTCTAAGTCCTTAAGTCGTTTGAACGATGAAAGAAATGATGGTGTTAGTTTTGCGGTTCAATCTGTTCCACGAACCCGCAATTTCACCGAGACCAGAGACTCACTTGAAAACAGAGTATGCTCTTATTGTGGACGTGTTGGTCATCTCGCCGAAAATTGCTTCAAGAAGATCGGGTATCCTCCATGGCTTGAAGAGAAACTACGTAATCGCAATAATTCATCTGCTGGGCGTGGAAACAATTCAACCAATGGTAGAGGATCCGGCAACGCATTTAAAGCAAAACAGAGTGTCGGGCGTGGCTCCTCCGTAAATCAGGTCTCCTCGGGCGTAAGCGCAAATACGGTTGTCAGCTCGAACTCTCCCTTAACCGATGCTGATCGGATCGGAATTAGTGGACTAAGTGACACACAATGGCAGAAATTGCGACAAATGCTTGAAGACCGTAATAACACTTCAACGGAAACACATTCTGGTAAGTTTTTTATTGAGTCTTGGATTATAGATTCTGGAGCAACAAATCACATGACTGGTACTCTTGAGTTTTTGCGTGATGTATGTGATATGCCTCCAGTTTTGATTAAACTTCCGGATGGAAGATTCACTACGGCTACAAAACACGGACGTGTTTACTTAGGCTCCACTCTAGATCTTCATGAAGTTTTCTTTGTTGATGGTCTTCATTGTCACTTAATCTCAGTCTCACAGTTAACTAAAGCAAGAGGCTGCATCTTTCAAATTACTGACAAAGTGTGTATTATTCAGGACCGCATCACTATGACTCTGATTGGAGCTAGTAGGCAGCACAATGGACTATATTTCTTGAGAAGAACAGAAACCGCAGCAACAATGACACGAGTGGATTCATCGTCGCAGTTGTGGCATTGTCGTCTCGGTCATCCTTCCTTAAAAGCTTTAAAGATGTTGCAGTTGTCAGATTTTAGTGGTAGTGATTTTGATTCAAAGACTTGCGAGATTTGTATTCGAGCTAAACAAACACGGGATTCTTTTACTTTGAGTAGCAATAAAACAACGTTTGCTTTTGAATTAGTACATTGCGATCTTTGGGGTCCTTATCGGACTACTTCCATATGCGGGTCTAGTTACTTTCTCACCATTGTCGACGACTACTCTAGGGCAGTTTGGTTGTATCTCTTACCATCTAAACAAACAGCTCCGATGCATCTCAAGAATTTTATCTCTCTTGTTGAAAGACAATTTGATACAAAGATCAAAACCATTCGGAGTGACAACGGTACGGAGTTTGTTTGTTTATCATCATTTTTTGCGGAAAATGGTATTATTCATGAGACGTCTTGTGTCGGTACACCACAACAAAACGGTCGTGTTGAGCGTAAACATCGTCACATTTTAAACGTCGCCCGTGCACTTCGTTTTCAAGCTAGCCTACCGGTTGAATTCTGGAGTTACTGCGCCCTTACCGCCGCTTATCTCATCAACCGAACTCCGACTCCACTCCTAAAAGGCAAGACACCGTTTGAGCTTCTTTATAATCGGCCTCCGCCTATGAATCACATCCGAGTTTTTGGATGTATTTGCTATGTTCACAATCAAAAGCACGGTGGCGACAAGTTTGAAAGTCGAAGTCACAAATCGATTTTTCTCGGTTATCCCTTTGCAAAGAAAGGCTGGCGTGTATACAACATTGAAACTGGTAAAATCTTTGTCTCTCGTGACGTTGTTTTTAAAGAAACAGAGTTTCATTTTCAACTCTCCGATGTCAAAAATCTGTCGTCGGCTCCAGATGATTTTTTCTCCACCGATGATCATTTGGTCTCGTTACCGGTGCTACCCTCCACTACTCTTGGTGATCCGGTCACTACAGCTCCTGTCTCTCCAGCTCCAACAGTTGATCTACCCTCCTCTGTTTTAACTTCTAATCTTGATGACGATGCACTTGACACCACTGTCATCGACAACTCAAATCGTGTTGACAACAGCTCCGATCTTGAGGAAATACATTCTCCCACGCATACTGAATCTGCTCCGTCTTCACCTGTATCTCCCACCTCTGCTACTTCGTCGGACGATACAGCCTCACCGGAACCTGACATTCTTGGTAAAGGAAAAAGAGCTAAATTTCCACCAGTCAAATTAGCCGATTATGTTACTACTCTTATGCATCAGCCGCATCCTTCTGCAACTCCGTATCCTCTGGATAATTACATCTCAAGTTCCCAATTTTCTGAAAATTATCAGACTTATCTTCTTGCTATCACTTCTGGTACTGAACCACATAGCTACAAAGAAGCCATTTTAGATGAAAATTGGCGAACAGCGGTGTCTGATGAGATTGTGTCTCTTGAAGATCTTGGTACATGGACTGTTGAAGACTTACCTCCTGGAAAGAAAGCACTAGGTTGTAAATGGGTTTTCAGACTCAAATACAAATCGGATGGTACTCTCGAACGACATAAAGCACGATTGGTAGTCCTTGGTAATAATCAAACTGAAGGTATTGATTATTCCGAAACTTTTGCTCCTGTAGCAAAAATGGTTACCGTTCGTACCTTTCTTCAACAAGTTGCTTCCATGGATTGGGAAGTCCATCAAATGGACGTACACAACGCATTTCTACACGGTGATCTCGACGAAGAAGTCTACATTCAATTTCCTCCGGGCTTTCGACCGGATGACAAGAGCAAGGTATGTCGTTTGCGGAAAGCCTTGTACGGCTTGAAACAAGCTCCTCGTTGTTGGTTTGCTAAGCTTACAACGGCCCTTAAGGAGTATGGTTTCACACAAGACATCTCGGATTACTCTCTCTTTACTCTTGATAGACAAGGAACACGGCTGCACGTTCTTGTATATGTAGATGATCTAATCATTACGGGTTCTACTCTTGCTATCATTGATGAGTTTAAACAATACCTCAGCTCTTGTTTCTACATGAAGGATCTTGGTGTTCTCCGATACTTCTTAGGTATAGAAGTAGCTCGGAATCCTACGGGTATTTATTTGTGTCAACGCAAGTACGCTCTAGACATTATTACTGAAACTGGCTTGCTAGGGGTCTGACCAGTCTCTCATCCTTTGGAACAAAACCATAAGCTTAGTCTAGCTTTTGGTGATACTATCTCTGATCCAGCTAGGTATCGTCGACTCGTCGGAAGACTGATTTACCTTGGCACTACTCGGCCGGAACTTTCCTATGCAATCCACATACTCTCTCAGTTCATGCATGACCCCAAATCCGCTCACTGGGAAGCCGCCCTACATGTTGTTCGTTACCTTAAATCAAGTCCTGGCCAAGGTATTCTCCTTCGCGCAAACACAACATTGGTTCTCACTGGTTGGTGTGATTCTGATTTAAATAAATGTCCCATGACACACCGGTCTCTCACGGGATGGTTTATCCAATTAGGAGGCTCTCCTATATCATGGAAAACAAAGAAACACGATGTGGTTTCTCGGTCCTCCGCCGAAGCCGAATATCGCGCTATGGCTGACACTGTAAGTGAGCTTCTCTGGCTCCGAGCTCTTCTTCCTGCTCTTGGTATTAAATGTGACACACCAATAACTTTATACTCGGATAGTCTCTCTGCTATTAGCTTGGCGAAGAATCCGGTTTATCATGCTCGTACTAAGCATGTTGGTAGGGATGTTCATTTTGTTCGTGATGAGATCATCAATGGTACAATTGCTACGCAACACGTTAAGACGACATCGCAACTTGCAGATATCATGACAAAGGCTCTTGGAAAAAGAGAGTTTGAAGCGTTTATTCTCAAGCTGGGTATTTGTAATCTTCATACTCCAGCTTGCGGGAGGGTCTTGGGCCATGAGGCCCCTTAGCCCAATTAGTTAATCTCTTGTACAAAACCCATTAGGTTAAACGTATGTATCGTCGTGTATATAAGACGTTTGTCTTGGAACAGAGTGAATAAGAAGCACGATTTACAATCTCCTTCTCTATTTGACATACATGGTTTAACCACAACTAACTTAAGTTTATCCGACATGGCAGAATTTTTATTTATTTATCAGATGTTCAGCTGGACCTCACAACTACCCAACAACATAAACGGTCCCAACCCCTGCTTTCCAGATCCCTCCAGTTTGATGTCGAGGTCCAGTCAAAAACCTAAAAGACCAAGCTAGCTTTTTTTGCAGTTTAATCTTATAAAATGCAAGTTCGATATAATCTTGCGATGGAATAACCTTTGCTAGGCTGGTACTTAGAAATTCAAATCCTTTTTTAGGTTGACCACAAATTGATAGTCTTCGATGATTTGTTACCTCAACTATTAATAACAAGCTTATATTAATAGGGATACAACAAAAAAGCTTTAAATACAAATGTAGCACACACGAAAACAAGTCATCACGAAAAAGATCTAAACATCTACCAAAAACAATCCAAATATATAAGTAAAATGAAAAATCTCTCAATATTTCTATTTGTGTGTAGCCTTTGCCTGCTTGGCCATGTATCCAGCGCTGGAATCAGGATCGGTAACGAACTCAAAAACAAAAAGCTCCTCTGGATGAGGTGTTATTCCAAAGATGACGTTATAGGTCCAAAAATAATACCAATCGGAGGGCATTCGTTCAATTATTTTGGTACTAACTTTTGGAGTACGACTCGTTTCATGTGTACCTTGAGACAAGGGCCTAATTATAGACACCATCAAAACTTTACAGCATTTAAACTTTACAGTGCTTCAGATGATGGCGGCGTATGGGATTGGAGAGCAAGAGAAGATGGAATCTATCTAAAGATAAGACCTGAGAGACATGTTAATAGACCGGTTGATATGCATAAAAAGTATGATTGGATATATTAAAAAACGTTAACAATATTCAAAGAGAGTGTAAAATGACAATAACATTATTTGCGTTGTGTTGAGTCTATCATTTATGTATAAAATCTAAAATTTTGTATGTTAAACATTTCATTATTTGTAAATCTATATATAATAATATTTGAGAAGTGTTTTTGCTGACGTGTCGGACTCTCGGCTCTTGTTGAGTCATTGATTTTACGTAATTACTTAATTATCTTTAATGAAATCTAATTAATTTTGGAAAAATTAAATTGAATTTCGGAATTAACCAGGAAAAAATAATTTTGGAAACAATAAACATGATAATTAACCAAAAAAAAAAAAGGAACAACGAAGTACCAGTTAGGAAGCTTTAATTGAATTCATCGTGTTCTTCGTCGTGTGAATATAATTCTTCTAAACGAAGGCAAAACTTGAAATCCTAACATAAAACATATATTCATAGCAATAACAGAGATCTAATAATTTAGTGATAGAATTTCACCTGTTGATCTGTCGAAGCAGAATAGTCAAGCTTCTCATAGTATCTTGCCCATGTTATGTCTTTAAGACGTCAATACTATCCTGCACCCTATAATTCTAACCAATGAAAAGAAAAAATATTTATTACCTTGGATACAGAGTTGACGAAGAAACCTTGGATAAAAACTCGACGAAGAAACTTGTAAGTGTTAATGTATGATGAAGCTTCCATGAACGTGAATTCGTGATCATAATGAAGAAACGTGTGAATGGAGACGGTTGATGGGTTTTTTTTTTTTTTTTTTTTTTTTTTTTTTTTTTACCTTTTGTGTAAACAGATCTGTTTCATAATTTATCGGAAAAGGAATTATACCAAAAAAAAAAAATCGGAAAAGGAAAATATTTATTATAATATTGATATATTTAAGATGATAATGTCAAATATCCGAAAATTATTAATCGGAGCATTAATATAAACATAAAAGAATACTATTCTAACCTTACTCAAATTAATAAGATTTAGATATCCGAAATTAATCGTAAACGGCTATTAATTGTTAAACTAATTAAAATAAAGATCAAACGTACCGGAATAGATGAAATTTTTGGTATGATCGTCGTGTTCGTCGTCGTCGTTTCAATCTAAATATTTGGAAAAAAAAACGAACAAAAAAAATAATATGTAGAATAGATGAAATTTTTGGTATGATCGTCGTGTTCGTCGTCGTCGTTTCAATCTAAATATTTGGGAAAAAAAACGAACAAAAAAAATAATATGTAGATCAATGAAAGAAAACCCACCAATTTAGAAACGGTTATCACGCCATCGTATTGTTCGTCGGATGATTATAAGTCTCTAATCCGGAGATTGACTTGAACCCTGACAAAAACATATATTCATAGCATAAAATCGTAAATAGAAGGTAGAAGACCACCTATTAATCGGTTGTAACCTTGTGCAAACTCGATTTAATTTTGACGAATGAAATGTTGGTGTGGTGTCAAAACTTTCTTGGGGAGACTCGAAGATGAGAGAGCTGAAGTCAGAGATAGGCAGAGAGGTTTACATGTGAATTAAGGTATGGAGTGCTAACGTGAACATGAACGTGAACGGTGGTGATTTTTGCACATAATAGCAATTAGATCGAGTTTTGGAAAAAAATATGGATCAGCGTGACATGACGCATATGGATACCATGCATGTCTATCTTTTGTAAATCAAAAATTATATTATTGTTCCGCCTTATTTTTGAAACAGAAAGAAATTTTTCCTTAAATTTTAATATATTTTATAAGATAGTATCAGATATAGTAGTAAATCTAAAATAGTTGTTATTATTCTATATTTTTACCGAAAAAAGTAAATATTATTTTAAATAAACATGGATAACAATGAATAAATGGCAGTTTTACAAATATTTATTATTATGATAGTGATTTGCTTATTAAAATATGTAAATTTTCTTTTCTTTTTTTGTATTTATCGTCGAAAAATTTAGAAACTCTAAATCATGCACCGCCTCCTATTCAATATAAATACCTTGCTCATGGTATTCAATTTCAGATCATAACTAACCTTTGTTTTTTTGTTCTTTTTTTTCAAACTTTTTTTTGCTTCTACCTAATTTTAATTTTTCTTTTTATTGTAGGGTGGATGTATGGAGGGGACGATGTGAACTGGTGTATGGAAAATTTGGACCTAATTCAATGAATAAACAGGTGATCTTATAGTTTATATGTACAAATTTGATTTTTTTTTTTTTTGTATTTATGGTTTCACTATTTTCACCACTAATCAATTTTTATAATCAAAAAGTTTGGTTTCAACTTTTGAGAAGGTAATCATCGATGGTTTGGTATGTTTCTTTTTGTTGTAAAAAGATGAAGTACCTCCCGATTTTGTTGAGGTACATGTTCTTATTATTTTCAAATATGTCTTTTCTCAGAAGAAACACTCAACTTTTGATAACACAGTTGTCACAAAGTCAGAAAGATGACTTATTTCAGGGATGAATCTTCAGAGGAGGCTAATTTTTGTCGTTAATACAATTTAAGTATTCCTCTCTTTAGATTAGGGATAACAAACTTGGCTGTTAAATTCAGGAATTACTCTTCGTTGCCAATCTCTCTCCCCAAACTAATATATTACATATATGGAAGTAGTAACTTAAAGTTTTTGGTATCGAGGTCATTCTAAGGCACTGAGATTCGGACTTTGGTATGTATAGGATTCGTTTTCCATGCACTAAGATTTAATTATTGTTTAATTTATTGGTTTTTAGGTTTCTTTCCATGCTCTGATGCGTTTTTAGCTTCTTCTGTTCCATTGGTTATTATGGGTTTTGACTTTTGAGAAATATACAACAATTTAAAACCAGGTTTTGTTGTTG